AGTGGCAATTTATTTATTTAAGAAAATTTATATGACTGCCCAATTCACTCTCAGGACTCTGGGTGGCTTACAAAGATAAAAACCCAATATACAAACAATAAAAAGCAAATCCCACCCCCTGCCCTAACAATATCAATCAAATAAACCACACTCAAATAAGTGTCAAAGTAGGGACCAATCATATCTCTTCAGGGAATGATATTCCACAGGTAGGGAGCCACACGGAGAAGGCCTTCTTCTTGGTCCCAATAGATATACTGTATTTTTTGGACTATAAGACACACCAAGATTTCGAAGAGGTAAGCAAGAAAAAAAAGTTTTTCCCTCCCCAGCCCCCAGGAACATTCTGCTGGCCTCCCAAAGCCTCTGCACGCATCGTTTATGTAAAAGACAGGTCCATTTTTCACAAAAACAGGATGTGCGGGGCGGGGTTTCGGGAGGCCAAAAATGGCTGTTTTTGGTGTATAAGACACACCAACATTTCCACCCTCTTTTAGGAGGGAAAAAGGTGTGTCTTATACTCCGAAAAATATGGTACCTCCTTAAGAGAGGGAAGCTATAGTATTCCCCGCCTCCCCATTCTGGTGGGCTGGGTAGATGTGACTGGCAAAAGATGGTCCTTCAAATAACCTGTTTTCAGGCCATGCAGGGCTTTAAAGATGGCAATCAGCACTTTAACTGGACCTGGAAACAGCCAATTCAGCTCCTGCAGGAGAGATGACATATGTGCACATGTAGGCGCTTGCACAAAACCATACAAACTGCTGCATTCTGAACCAATTGAAGTTTCCAGGTACTTTGCAAAGGCAGCCTCATGTACAGTGGGTTGCAGTCATCAAGGTGGGAGGTGACTAGGGCGGGTATGGCTGTTAGCAGGGATTGTTCATCCAGGAAAGGGCATAACCCACAGTTGCACAAAGGCCCTCCTGGCCACAACTGGTCATGAATCCAGGAGAACCCTCAGAATATACATTGGATCTCTCTTGGATGGTGCCACCCATCCAAGACCAGAGATGGCAGTTGTTCATGGACCAAAGAACCCCAAACCCAGAGGCATTTGGCCTTGCCAGGGTTTCGTTTCAGTCTGTGGCTCCCCATCCAGCCTCCAAGCATTACGAGAGGGATGTCATGGCATCACTTAGCTCACCATGGGCCAAGACGTAGATGGATGTCATCAGCATATTGATGATATCTCAACCCTTGATGGCAGATGATATCACCCAATGTCTTCATGTAAATATTAAACAGAAGCAGAGAAAGTGCCAAGCCCTAAAGGACCCCACAAAGCAGAGGACAAAGGCTGGACTTCTCACCCACTGAGAGGGACCACAGAGGAAAAACGTGAAGTAGGGCACCACAGAACACCCTCCCCACTCCCAACCCCCAAAGCTGCTCTAAAGGATACCATGGTCAATGATATCGAAGGTCACTCAGAGGTCAAGTAGAGAGAGTATAGCATGGCAAGGATAGAGATCATCAAAAAGAGCAACCAATGCTCTTTCTGTCCCATATCCAGGCCTGAACCCTAACTAAAAAGGGTCCAGATAATCCATTTCATCCAGAAACCCCTGGAGCTACTGTGCAACTACTTTCTCAATAACCTTCTCCGGAAAGGTAAGACTGAAGATAAGATGAAATAGTTTAAAAAAAAAAAGTAAAATATTTAATTAATTTAGTATAGGCTTTCTCTATTTAATGACAACAAGTCATCAGAACCACAATTATATAGGAACAGGGCTCTCATATCAGAACTGCAATAACCCAAACAATAAATTGACGACAGCAAACAGGAATGTCTACATTTCTTTGCTTCATCTAATGACTATTTAGAGTTCTTTAGCCCTTATATTGATAGACTAGAAGTAACTTCAAGATCATATTTAGGTCTATTCCTAATAGAGTCATAGTGATAGCACTGATCCTCAATAGTAATGTAAACCCATCTTTTGAAGTAGTAGAAATTCTACTATTGTAGCATTGTACTTTCCTTAAAAATCCTCTAACAAAGAAAAGTTCCCTTCCCCACAAGTGTAATGTTCTACTGTTAATCAGCTGATGATTTTTGTTAAAGTTTCATCTGAGGACTTTTTCCCCACCCTTCATTTGTTGCCAAGAAGAGATCAGGTCTCTTATTTTCATTGTGACAGCCCTTTAAATGATTCAATATATTTAACATATCAGTTCAAGCTACAGAAGATCTTTAATCTGTCCTTGTGGGAACTGCCCCCTAAACTCTTTTTCACCCCATTCATGCCAGTTACTCAGATATTCTGATATGATATACACCCTCGAGGTCAAGATAAGGTTTGCAAAAGAAAAATAAAGCTTACGTATCCTGTGGTATGAGAAAATGTATTTTTATCTGCATCCCTTACTGATTCTAAAAACATCTGTGCTGCTTAACACGTTAAGCCATAACTTATGTCAGCACAGTTTCTCAAAGAAACTGAAATTGGCTAGGTTTTAAATTATGTTTTACAAACTACAATGGTTGTGATTTACCAGGGCTCAAGTAAGCTAACTAGTTTTAGGGCTCTTATAAATACCAAAGCCAATGCAAGGTGGGAACTCTGGCCCCTTGCCAGAGGTCTTCTTTATGGAGAGGCAAGCAAAAAGAAGCTAAGAATATTCAGTTGGAGAGAAAAAACTACCATCCTCCTGAGTTGCTGCTGCAATTTAGTGAGGGGTAAATAAATATAATCCAGTGCTAAATAATATTGAAACTGCAAAATTAAGAATTCAAGAAAAATAACCCATCAAATATATTTTGTTAATTGAACAGAAAAATGTGGGAGAGGATTGTAAAGATTATAGCTACAGATACATGGATTTAAATTCCCTGAATTCTTAGAAATGGCCTCGTTGGGTGGGGAATTCTGAGAGCTGATATCCAACATCTGGAGGACATCTGTTTGGCATACCTACAAATTAGAGAACAAATATAGATATGCATGCACATGTACATATACACACACGGCATTAAATATAAGATGCTTTTCTGTTCTAAAAAGATCTGCCTTCATGAGAAACATTTGTGGCATTGCTTATGAAAGTGCTGCTGGCCCATCCCTGCTGTTCTTTTGATTAAACTCTTTCTTCAGAGCTGACACAGGCAGCATGGTTGCCCAGTTCTGATATTGCCCAAAGTAGCTCACTCTATCTTAGAAAGAAGCAGCACAGAAGAAAGAGCAACAAACTCATATTGGAAACTTCCAGTAGGAAATTAGAATCAAATTGCTGCCAAGCATCCTAATAATGAAGCGATTAGAAACATATCTCTTTCTCTAGCAATTCTAGACGAAAAAAAAATGTCAAAGCCAACGTGCCATTTAACAGGACCTAACTGCTATTTGTGCCTTAGTATGTCTTAAACTAATGGATAGGGACATATTCCCGACTTTCTCCAATCACAAGGACAACGTCTACACAAAGCTACCATAAAGGTCCAAGTGAGAAAGGACCTTAAGGGGCTTCTTCTCACTGATTACCAAAATTTTACAAAATAAATATTTTCTCCTTCTGCTTATCACCATAGCAATCCCTGGAAACTTATTCTCACTGTACAAATGAATAACTGAGACTGCAAAAGAATCCAAAGTGAGCTGTGAAAGCAAGTCAAAAGCCTAGATATCCTTCTGAATCTGAACCACAGAAAGAATCTTATAGCATGTTTTCTACAAATTTTAATTTGTCAAATCAATATATGTCCTCCAACAGCACCAACACAGGCCCAAGCATACACAAGATTAGAAGAGTCATTACATGTTCATCATCTTACGTGATACTTGTCACGCTCTTCCAGCAATGCTCCTGACGTAAGACAAACTTTGACAAAAGAATAAATGGGCACAAGTTTGACATCAGGCTCAAAACAAGGACAAAGAAATTTCAGAGTGATTCAACCTCCCAGACCCCTCTACTGTGGATCTCAAAGTGACTGTTTTGAAAAAAAAGAGACTTTAACAGCATCACTGAAATGATTGATTGAGGTTTAAGGCTTTCTCAAAGGCCTAGTTGAACATAATGAGTTTTAACATATTAAAATAGATACTTATTACTACAACAAAAGTCATCTAAACTGATAAAGGTATTTGTAATTTGTCTCATGTGTTATCTGCATAATCAACCTGTCTCCCTCTCTCTTCTCCTTCCCCCCCACATCCTTCTAATCACTGCACGTATATAGGAAGTGAGGTGCAGCTCTCAAAAGCGTATGTCTTGAATAAAAATTTAATCAGAAAAATTGCGATTGGACAATTCCTGATTTATGCTAACAGCAGCTCTCCTTCTACAATGCCTCCCGAAACACATTTTCAGTCATCCCACAGCTAAGTGCTATGAAGAAAAAAAAAAGCACAGAACTGGCAAGGCATAACAAAAGACATCTAAGCAAAAATAACTGGATATATTTGTAGCATGCACTAAGGGCTTTCAGGAAGAAGTCCCACTAAAAACGTTATTTAGAAAGAGAAAACAAAGCAGCAGTAATCCAGCATTCAAAGACTGCATCAACATGTCATTTCACCTATATGCCTCAAGGCCTGCATGTCTCAAAGGCTCGCCTAGGAAAAAAAAAAACCCTCCTGGAAATATAATAGCTTAGAAAGCTTTGTTTAAAGGGAGCCAAATGAAATTACTGACAACCCTATCTGGGAAAGTCTCAAACCAGAAAAGGGAACTTCTGAAAAGCGGACCAAATAGCAAAGATGGATTTATTTATTTATTTATTTTTTACTACGTGGAGTTTCCCCTGGAACCGAAAAATAGAGAAATGAATCGAATGGAAGAGAAATGTCAATCGTGCAAGCGGGAAAGGAAGTGGCAAAGCTCTAAAAACAAGAAATCGGTGTGGCTTTTTTTTTTTTTTTTGAAAGGATTCACCAAGCCGTCCAAAATTTACTGTAGTTCACCCTTAATGGCTAAGCACCACCATTCCGACACCAGTTCCTGCACAGCAATCCAAATCAAAGGGGGGAAGAAAAGCATTGCTACTTACTTACCCGAGTTAGTTGCCGGAGATAAGCCGCCCGTGGGCTGCATCCACTTTCCTGGGAGGAAAACCCACGGACTTCGAGGGTAATGTTCGCGCTGAGAACCGGCCTCTTCGCCCCCTCCTTCCCGCCCGCTCCCTAAAATCACCTGCCCGGCTCGGTGGATCAAAGGGTCAGGAAGCCCTTGGAGCACTTCAGCGGGAAGGTCGTCTTGCATTCAGGCAGGAAGAGGCGAGTTTCCGGGCGTTGGAAACGTCTGCCGCCCGACGTGATGCTTCCCTTCTGAAGAAAGGAGTATAAGCGCCTCAGAATGGTTTTCTCGTCCGGCGTAGAATAATTCTGTTTAGCTTGGTGGGCCAGCAGGCTAGCAAGCCCTGGAGCTCCCCTTCTTCTACTCTCAAGAGCGAGCAGAATGAATCCCAAGTCTTGAATTTGCTCTCCTCCGTCCGTCTCCGTTTGTCTCATTGCCCGCCAGGCCACCTACTGGTGGATAAAGGCGTGAAGATGCCTCGACAGGCGCTTAGTGCCAAAGGGAGGGTAGGGAGGGGGGGGGAGGCGGGTGATTGGTGATGTGTCATCAAATTGGTGTCGACTCCTAGATAGATGCTCTCTATAGCGATCTTTCCCTGATGTTTTTCAGGTCTCCCAAAAGTGCAGCCATGGCTTCTCATGTCTGTGGAGATTCCCAGTCCCAAAGGTGCTTTTTTTCAAGAGGCAGCTGGACTTTCTGGTTTTTCTTTGAAGACGTTTTGCTTCTCATTCAAGAAGCTTCTTCAGCGGAGCTGGAAAAAAGCACTTTTGGGACGCACATCCGCTTCTGTAAATAAAACTAACCACCTTGAGCTGGTCGTCCACTGTTTCCTTCTTTCCACCTTTCCCAGCATTAGAGTATTTTCCAGAGGGTCATGCCCTTAGTTAATTCCATCAAGAAACAATGGAGGGAAACTAATCAAAGAGAGAAGCAACCTGGAATTAAGGTGAAACTTTATAATAGTGAGAACAGCGGAACAGCTTGCCTTCAGAAGTTGTAGGTACTTCATCAATGGAGGTCTTTAAGAACAGATTGGACAGCCACTTGTCTGAAATAGTATAGGACAGGGATGTCAAACTCAAGGCCCTTAGATCTGGCCTGTGGGACTGCCCTGGAAACAGCGAAGGACCGGCCCGTGGTGCCTCTGCCAGCGAAAACAGAGCTCTGGAGGGCCACATATGGCTCTCCCGAGCACTGTTTTTGGCTGTGACGGCCTTCTGCAACTGTCTGCCAGCGAAAATGGAGCTTGGGAGAGCCGCACATGGTGGCTCCTGAGCTCCATTTTCACTGGCAGAGCGCTCGGACCACCACAGGTGTCCCCGACACAAGTGACGTCGAGCTGGCCATGCCTACTCAGGCCGCCCCCTGAGGTCAAACCCAACCCTGATACGGCCTTCAATGAAATCAAGTTTGACACCCCTGGTATAGGATCTCCGGCTTGAGCAGAGGGTTGGACTAAATCAGAGGTGGGTTTCAGCAGGTTCTGACTAGTTCTGGAGAACCGGTAGTGGAAATTTTGCGTAGTTCCGAGAACTGGTAGTCAAAATTCTGACTGGCCCCGCCCCCATCTATTCTCTGCCTCCCAAGTCCCAGCTGATTGGGAGGAAATGGGAATTTTGCAGTAACCTTCCCCTGGAGTGGGGAGGGAATGGAGATTTTACAGTATCCTTCCCCTGGAGTGGGGAGGGAATGGAGATTTTACAATATCCTTCCCCTGCCACGCCCACCGAGCCACACCCACAGAATTGGTAGCAAAAATTTTTGAAGCCCACCACTGGACTAAATGGCCTACAAGGCCATCCCTTCCAACTCTATTCTAATGTATCAGAAGTAGGATAATTTGGATAATTTCAGATGAGAACTCTGGGTTGATTTGTTTAATAATCTATGTGTTGGGAGATTTCAAATAATACCAAATCATTATTTATTAAAATAATATTCTGCATTCTGCTTCATTCTCTCTCTCTCTGCATGGCCAGTCATTATTTCCTATGACCTTCTTTAATGTAACTTTTATCAATTTAAAATAATAAAGGTTAAGAAATATTTATTTATTTTATTTATTTTATTTAGATACTTATTCAATTAATTTGTGTATTGCTTTTCATATCAAAGACAGCTCAAACCATGGTATGGGAAGCATTTCAAGAAAAAATAAATATAATAACTGAACATGTTTACCAATAAAGGAGAACATTTGTAGCCATTTGAATATTTGTGTCAGTGCTGGGACGCCTGACAATTTGAACATCTGTAACACATTTTTTAAAAAAAAACATACATCTTGAGAATCTTGTTGCAAATTTCCCCAAAGACCAATTTATTGATTTCTATTGAATTGCTTTAAATAAACAGAAGATTGTTTCACAATGAATGTACACATTTAACATCCAGTGACAACTTTGCTTACATAGATGTTAGATAAATTAGACCATCCCACACACAACATATTTGTCTCATTACCGTATTTTCAAAGATCTATGTGTTTTTTCCATTGTTTTCCTATCACTAAGTTGTGTCTGACTTTTTCCAACCTCATGGACCACAGCACGCCAGGCCCTCCTACCCTCCACTCTCTCCTAGAATTTGCCAAAACTCACGTTCACTGTTTTGGTGACACTAACCATCTCGTCCTCTGCCATCCCATTCTTATTTTGCCTTCAATATTACCCAACATCCGGGTCTTTTGTAATGAGTCCTCTCTTTGGCCAAAGTATCTGAGTATCTGTCCTTCCAAAGAACACTCAGGGTTTAATTATCTGTTTTGAATTGTAGACTGCACACAGAAAGGCCCTGAAATCTGAGTATGTGTGGGGATTTTATTAAGACTGAGATCTGTCATCTACTTGTAATGCCAGGAATCACTCCTATAACACATGAAAGAATAATAAAATAATTACAGGTTCTTTATCTGCAGGTTATTTAGCAACTTATCATAATGAAAAACCCACCTCCTCTTTTCACTGCCAAGGCTCTATGAAAATGCATGCATAAAATGGAACAACTGAAAGAGGAAACTTGTACTTTCCTGGAACCTAGAACTGCAGATGAAATATAATGATTCATGCTTTCCAAAGCATTTTGTTTGGCACCCAGAAAGCAAAAGAAAAGAAAATGTTCTAAAAAGATTATACTTTTGCTATTCATGACTTAATGTTCTATTCAAAACATTAGTTCCCTGTATAGCAGTAAAGGTTTCAAATCATTATATTTAGTAGGCATTCTTAAGTAGCATTCTCTTACAGAGGGAAAGGTGGGAGAGAGTTCCCATAGTAGCAGCATTATATATCTGCTTCTGTTACTGCCCTCACTATAGAACAGCCTTTAAACCAGGGGTGTCAAACTCAATTTCATTAAAGTCCTCATCAGTGTTGTGTTTGACCTCAGGGGTCCAGGGTGGGTGTGGCCAGTTCGTGTCACTCATGTCAGGGGTGCCTGTGGCAGCCTGAGTATCTGACAGCGAAATAGGCTCCCAAGCTCCGTTTTTGGCTGCAACAGCCTCCTGCAACTCTCTGCCAGTGAAAACGGAGCTCAGAAGGGCCACATGCGGTCCTCCCAAGCTCTGTTTTTGCTGGCAGAGGCACTGTGGGCTGGTCCTTTGCTGTTTTCAGGGCAGCCCTGAGGGCTGGATCTAAGCACCCCATGGACCGAATCTGGCTCTCAGGCCTTGAGTTTGACACCCCAACTTTAAACAGTCTGGAACCTGGCTATTCCCCTGGCTAGAATCATCACAGAACCCTTTTCTAGATTCTCTGCCAACGGTTCTTCCTCCCAGCAAGAAAAATGAGTTCTCCTACAGGGATTAAAGCAGAAATAGCAGCACCCGACTTTCACCTTGAGCCAAACTTTGTCTCAGCAGTACAGATACTGGGATGAGACAAAGAAGTTTAAAAAGAGCTTCTGAATTTATCTAGAAAAGTATCACCCACCCATCCCTGCTCTGAGTCTTTGTAGAGGAACTTGCTTACGAACTTCAGAAACAACTTCAGTGACTCAGAAAAGAGTATTATACTGTTTGTTGTAAATAAGTCAAGTGGTTGGGTGGAAGATATCCTGTCCAGCCTCCACTCTATATCACACAGGCAATAGAATATGATGCCTGTCTTTATTTCCTAGACTATAGTGTAGCCTTTCACCAATAACTATGATTTTTATTCAGCTTCCCCAAAAGGACGTTTTTAAAGCTTCATCTGTATGTTAGTTTCATAATCCCAAAAGACTAAGGAAAGCAACCTTTCATTTAGTTCCAGTACGAGACAAATAAATTACATCACTGTTTCTCACAACATATTTTAAATTTGTACCAAATATGAATAGATTAGAAAAGAATAAATACCATTTAAATGCCTAGAATTCTGATGAGTAATTACTGGTTCTGACTGACTCTAATTAAAACTTGGGAAGATAATGTATTCTCTATGTGTTTTTCTCAGAAATCAAGTCATATGGAAACAATTACGGTTATGTCAACATAAAAGAGAGATATTGAACTGATTCCCACTTATCCTTAAGAGAATTATTCTGAATAAAACTTTGGGACATGAATGAAGCTGAAGTAATTATATATCAGATTCCCAGAAAGAAGATAAAAATCAACACTGAGCACTTTGCTAGAATGCATCTATGATCTTAAACTGTTTATTTTGCTGAAATATCACAGAGGGATCATTTATGATCTCCAAAAAAAAAAAAAAAAAAAGATTCAGTTGTGGGAAACTGGCTTTCTTTCTTATGGAATATTCCACCATAACAGCTACTTTTTCTTGGAATATTCCACTGTTCCATGAGATTAAAAGGCCCAAGAAAATTATTTGATTTTTGGCTGTGTCAGGGGAAAAATAGCAACTGTGGAACAATGGTAACAGTTCAGTTTTCAACAGCCCTGCTTACTACATACAAATTTGGGGAAGAGGAGTTAGTTGTGTGTGCAAAAGAAAGAAAGAAAAAGTAGGTGCAATTCAGTGTCTTTTGTGATTTTTCATACAGCAGATATTATTTAAGAGGATAACACCAAATACAGCCTCTCTGGGTTATATGCTTAGTTGATACTTTAGCACATGTTCTTTTCAGGAGAGAATATTTTTTGTTTTCTGATCAAACTCACACACTTTACTGTAGTTTAGTCCATCATGTAGGAAAGAAGATAATGTCTTTGTATGGTTGCTTTTCTCTTTATAGGTGGCAAAAAAAAAACCCCACAACAAAAAGAATTTATATTTTTCCCTTGCAAAATAAAGCAACTGTATTAAAAATATCTTTTCCCGATGACACTGAATCCTAAATTTCCTAATTTGGCAGTTTCCCAGATCAATGCCCATAGGTGCATATCTGGTTCAATTTAGATGACCAAAGCACACAATTTATAAACTAAAAGTGAGATGCACATTCTTAAGCTGAACTGATCTTTAAAGAGCATAATATTGTTAATTTCATTTGTGATAGAAGAAATTGTGCCTTCTATATGTTCCATGTATGTAAGTGAAACCATGCAGACTGAGTGAAACTTGAACTATTCTAAAGTAAACTGCAAGAAATAAATAGTAATGACAATATAGCTGTCCTTGAGCTCTAGAGTCCCATTCAGAAGTCGAAACATTTCTGGATCATACAGGTTTCTTGTCCTCTGTAACACCAACACACTGCAGTCCATAAATATGGAAGAGTCGGCAGGCAAAAATTGCCTACTTGAAGCTGCTGGTAAAGAGAGTTGGAAATATATTTAAACTCCAATGGAGTCCTTAATGCTCTCTGACTTTGTTTGGTAGCAGATATTAGTGGGGGTGTATACTGAATATAAGGTACTAGCCACATTCACTAGCACTGATGTTACCTACATCTGCAATCAAGCAACCGAGCTCAGAGAACACCAAGAACACCACAGTTTATCCCAAAGCTACCTCTATTTTCTTCTGACAGCAGTGTCAGTGCCACAAGTCTTAAGCTACTAACAGCAGAGCATCCGTCTTATTCTAACCTATTTTTGGGTGGCTGTTGAAGAGAAGGTTAGATATATTTTATCCATTGATAGTAAAAGCGGGTTAAAGCACACATATCTGGATTTCCCATTTAGTAATAGGAATATGAACCATAAATTAGACGGTTCTTGTTAAAACCACCTTCTGGCCGTGAATTATGGTAATTGGTTATGTTTTAAGGTAAACCATTTTTCTGTTTTAACTCCTGGGCAAAATGGACATGATACAGAACAGTTATAATAACTAAAATATAGTAAATCTGTTTGAAAATATGAAATTACAGTATTTACTTTAGCACTGTTACACAATGATTATTTTGCTATTGAATAAATCAATTTGTTAGACGAGAAGTTGCTCTTAGAGGTTTAGAGGTTATCTTCTTTTCTTGGAGGAAAAAAGCAACACTTTTGAATTGGTTTGAAGCACAGCTCACTTTTTATTTCTTTCGTTTTTGAAAATATGAGTCCCAATTATACAAGTCAAAGACTATGATAGACACACTACAGATGTTTTAATGTGACTTGTCAGGTAAGTAATATGAAGGCAATATATTCATCTAACCACTGTGTAATGAAAAGAGCAACAATATTGCCTTTCTAATTTCCATTTGTTCACCTTCCTCTCCTATATAATTTGAAACAAGAGTGAATTGTTGCTTGAGCTAGTAATTGATGACAATAAGCCAAACAATTATCAAAACAGCTACACATTTTACTGCTATAAAACTGTTTAAGAGATATATTTTCTTGCAGGAGCCTGATATTAACTTAAAGTCTTCTATTTAAAGAAGCTCTATCACAATAAAATAAGAATTTTTATTTATTATCATTATTATATACTGAGTTTCATTCAAATACTTTGGCTACCTAATGAGAAGGAAGGACTCACTGGAGAAGAGCCTGATGTTGGGTAAGATTGAGGGTAAAAGAGGAAGGGGACGACAGAGAATGAGGTGGGTGGATGGAGTCAGCGTGGAGAAACGTTGTCCATGGGGTTGCGACACAACTTCGCAACTAATAACAATACTGAGTTTCATGTTTAATGAATAAAGTATATAATAATAATAACCTGCAATATTTTTATCATAGTTACCAAAATTGCAACTAACCTCCCCCCAACTTCTTTGCCTCCCGAGGGAATGGATCACTGGAGGTTTTTAAGAAAAGACCAGACAGCTATCTATCTGAAATGATATAGTGCAGAGTTCCCTAACCTTTCTGGGTTGGCAGCCTGGTCTGCTTGAGCCGGGGGCTGGACTAGATCACCTCCGAAGCAGGGGTGAAATCCAGCAGGTTCTGGAGAACCGGTAGCGGAAAATTTGAGTAGTTCGGAGAACTGGCAAATGCCACCTCTGTCTGGCCCTAGGAGTGGAGTGGGAATGGAGATTTTGCAATATCCTTTCTCTGCCATGTCCAAGCCCTGCCCCGCCCACAGAACCGGTAGCAAAAAAAATTGGATTTCACCACTGCTCCAAAGTGCCTCCCAGCTCTATTCTGATTGATTACAACAAACATCAGTCGGAAAATGGGTTTTAGTCTAAGGCACTGTTTCTCAACCTTGGAAGCTTGAAGATGGGTGGACTTCAACTCCCAGAATCCCCCAGCCAGCGCTGCTGGCTGGGGGATTCTGGGAGTTGAAGTCCATCCATCTTCAAGCTACCAAGGTTGAGAAACACTGGTCTAAGGTGTCTAGTACACAAACTGGAGAAGATAAATGTATCAAATTTGCCGTAAGACAGGCTAATTTTAAATTTGACAAGCAGTTTTCAATGCGTCGATACAGGAAACCCAACACAACCTCAACGTTACATTTCTACATTCCTCTATTTTACGCCCTTCTGTCCGACCTCACTATAGAGAACTGGCGGAAATGACGACGCGTTGGGCTACAGCGGCCCATTGCACGAGACCGAATGTTTCCGGGTCACGTGGCGGAAATCGGGAGAGTTGGGTGCGGCGGCGCGCCGAAGAGCTGTGGGGCCGGCTTCTGTTCTGACAAGATGGCGTCCCTTCTTCAGTCAGACCGCGTCTCCTACCTGGTGCGCGGCGAAAAGGAGATCCGCATGCCGCTTTCGCAGCTGTATTTCTGCCGCTACTGCAGCGAGCTCCGGTCCCTCGAGTGTGTCTCGCATGAGGTAAATTGGCTGTGTTAGAGAGGCTGGGGAGTTTAATCGCACAGCAGCGGGTTGGATTGGCTAACCCTGCTGCCACTCGCAATCTTAAACCCTCCCCCCCTTCATCCAATTGGCTAAGAGGGATTGTGTGCCAACGTTCCCCGTTTTTCTGGTTTGGAGCTCGAGGACAGAACCTCGAGTGGGGCGCGTGTCAGTGTCCCTTTGTTAGTTGCAGTGTCCCTTGGCTAGTTGCAAGGGAGTAAATTCTGGGCAGGCAAGCGAGGAAGAGATTTATAGGAAGGGTGGAGGGAAATCTTTTAGCATATGTATTTGAAATAACATTTCTTCCCATGAAGTTGTTGCTTTTCCTGTGTAAATTGCCATCACTCCCTGTTCAGACGTCATCATATGCTATGCCTCCCAGTAGGTTACTGTTGTATCCTGAGACAGTTTCAGCCTCATCCTTATTCTGTCTCCTCCCTCCCCTATATATTTATATTTATATATTTATGTCCTGGGTGCCTGCCTGCCTGCCTGAATCCAGTTGGATTCTAGGTAGTAATGTTGATAATCAGGTACTGTTAACCCATCTAACTATATGAAACTTGTATTTGCAAAAAACACAATGGGCAGTTAGGAGTGGGCTACAGACTTGATTCATATTGTGGCGCCTGTAAATTGCAACATTCTTGGGGACGTGTTTTGTGATACGCTGCGGAGAAAAATGCCCCACTTCATTTTAATTTTAGATTTTTTTTTTTTTTTAAAAATGGAACAGTAGGGTGCTGCAAAGCACGAAAAAGTATTCCAAAGAATGCTCCTGGTCCCCAGATATATTCTGGAGGCATTTTTAAAAAAATGAAAATGATTGAGGACTCACTTCAGTGTTTTGTTTTGAAGTATGTCCACATGTCCAGAAAAGGATAGAAATACACACATATCATAGAGTAGCCTTAAAGACTAGTTAGTACATTGATTTTTGTGTGAGCATTCACAGTGGCCATCTTTTTGGAGGAATTCCCATGATATTTTCACCAGATGTGCTGTCCAGTTTGCCATGCTACGGGTCACTTGGAATTCAGTACTGTATTTTGTAATACTGAAAACCAATTTATTAAACAACCTTATTCAATTACAATTTAGTGTTAGTCTTTTGATCTGCAGAGAAGTGAGTGCACCAATAAATACATGTAACTTTTCTTCAGATTTAATGGGGGCTCCCAAATTTTAAACAATTTCCATTGGTTAAACACAAAATATTAAAGGAACTCTGCTTGCTCCAAACATTCTAGAAGTGTCCAAAGATGAGACACTCCTTCCTGAATCTAATTTTGACATTGTTTGGGTTGCGGTCTCAAGATCGTAAATAAACTGTTTTTGAAAGTTATTTTACTATTTACTAGCTTTTATTTACTAGTAAAATAAGTATTTACTAGTGGACAATCACTTAAATATGAGCCAGCAGTGTGTGGCAGCAGCCAAAAAAGCTAATACAATCCTTGGTTCTATAAACAGAGGCATAGAATCAAAATCACATGAAGTATATGTTTTATAAAGCATTAGTAAGACCACACCTGAATTACTGTATTCAGTTTTGGTCACCACATTACAAAAAAGATGTTGAGATACTGGAAAAAGTGCAAAGAAGAGGAAGTAAGATGATTAAAGGCCTGGAGACTAAAACATACAAAGAAAGGTTGCAGGATTTGGGTTTGGTTAGTCTGGAGAAATGAAGGACTAGGGGTGACATGATAGCAGTATTCCAGCATTTGAGGGGTTGCCACAAAGAGGATGGTGTGTGTGTGTGTGTGTGTGTGTGTGTGTGTGTCACCTTATTTACCAAAGTACCTGTAGGCAGGACAAGAAACAGTGGATAGAAAGTAATCAAGGAGAGAAGTAATCTAGAACTAAGGGGAAACTTCCTAACAGTGAGGACAGTTAACCAGTGGAACAGCTTGCTGTCAGAAGTTGTGGGTGCTTCATTGGAGGTTTTTAAGAAGAGACTGGACAGTCACTTGTCTGAAATGGTATAGGGTCTTCTGCTTGAGCAGTGGGTTGGACTAGAATATCTCCAAGGTCCCAGCTCTGTTTTGATTGATTGACTCAGTTTTGTTCTGTATGAATATGAATGAAGAGGAATATTTTACTTTTTAAATCTTACTCTGTTACTATATATGTCTTTGAATGTGAACCAATTTCCATTTTAAAACAGTCAACCCTGGTTCCGCAAGGGCAAAAACAATCCTGATACGTCATAATACGACCCGCGATGTGATCAGGTTTGACACCCCTGGTCTATAAGCACTGAACAAGAAATACCTTAGTCATTATGATTAAATGGTCTTAATCTGAAGTATTAGTTTTTGAATTACTTATTTTTCAGTTGTTCAGCTCTGAAAAAAACCCTAAAGAGTAGTTAAAGAAGGTAACAAGCTATTGGAACTCAGTTGGATAGAAAATAAATTTTAAGAATTGGTTCATGACAGGACAAATTCCAAATTTGGTTTTTGACATCTCCTGTTCCAAATATTAATAGCTGAAAATGAGAAAAATACCTGCTAGAAAATTAATGGAATCACTTCTGATTATGTTTGTTTTTCATCCCAGGTATAATGCCAATTTTAATTGTCATTAATAATCCTGGGGATTGTTTAATAAGGATGCTGACTACTTTTCTGGTACAGATCTAAATTTCCTCTCAATAATAATATCTAGAATAGAAAGAAATTCTGCAGTTTTGGAGAACAACCTTTTCCCTTCATTTAATTGTCAGCCCTTCTGAATCACCTTATCTCTCCTGAGCATTACATTTGACGTTACATTTTAATATTTCATTTTAAAATGGGATAAATTTTCTCCACAAGCATCAAAGTGTATATTTGGAACTAGCAAAGGAGAGGCAGAAGTCTTACAAAGTTTTTTCTGGTATTGGATTTTACCTCTACAATTAAAATACCTATCTGATCTTTGAGAGCAAAATCTGAAATAACAATAATCAAATTAAGGTTTTGTGGTTTATAAATCAGTCTTTTGGATATTATCCAGTCCCAGCTCCTGAAAATCCAAATGTCTTTTTTGTTCCAAACATAAGAAGCAGCTTTAGTTCAAGTATAGTAGTAAATAATGACTTTTTAAAATTATTCTATAGGTGGATTCTCACTATTGTCCCAGCTGCTTGGAGAATATGCCTTCAGCTGAAGCCAAGCTGAAAAAAAATAGGTAAGGCTACATTCCCCCCCTTTTTTCTTTTGCTAAAGCTTTTCTTTTGTATTTTGCATAATCTCTTTACAGTATATTTAACCACATACTTATTAATTTGAAGCCCACTTTGAATTTAATAGTACAGGTAATCCTCGATTTATGACCATAATTGGACCCAAAATTTTTGTTGCTAAGAGAGATGTTTGTTAAGTGAGTTTTGTCTCATTTTGAGACCTTTATTGCCACAGTTGTTAAGTGAATCACTGCATTTGTTAAGTTAGTAACATGGTTGCCATACAGTTAGGTGAATCTGATTTCCTCATTGACTTTGCTTGTCAGAAGGTTACAAAATGTGATCACATGACCCTGGGACACTGCAACCGTCATAAATATGAGTCAGTTGCCTAGCATTTGAATTTTGATCACGTGACCATGGGGATGCTGCAATGGTCGTATGAAAAACGGCCATAAATCATTTTTTCAGTGCTGTGAAAGTTCAAAAGGTCATTAAATGAACTGTTGTAAGCTGAGGATTTACAACATATAGAATCTTAACAGATTGATTATTATAAAATCTGAAGGAATATTCATGACAGGATTTTTGTCTTTTTATAAAGGAATAGATACATGAATTTGCTTCCTGTTGGTTGCCTCAATGATTATTCTGAGCAATAAAATTATTTTAAAACTTATTGTTAAGAGTGGTTTTGGAATTATATGTACATTTATAAACCAAGAACCTTAGTCCAATTTATATACCGTATTTTCCGGCGTATAAGACGACTTTTTAACACATGAAAATCTTCTCAAAAGTCGGGGGTCGTCTTATACGCCGGGTGTCGTTCTCCTGTAACCAGGCAGACCAGCCCGAAAGGCTCTAACGAGCCTTAAATGGCTCTGGCGATCCCAGCTCTGACAATCCCAGCTGAGTTCCCTGCAACTCAGCTGGGATCGCCAGAAACCACGTAAAAGGAAAAAAGTTTTTTCCCTTTTACTCTGATGATCCCAGCTCTGACGATCCCAGCTGAGTTCCCTGCAACTCAGCTGGGATGGCCAGAGCCATGTAAAAGGGAAAAAGTTTTCCCCCTCCAGCTTGCTTACCTCAGCTGCTAGTCGCAACGCTTGCCTTGCTTTGCTTGCCTGAATCTATTCAGGCAAGCAAGCAACTCCCTGCCTGCAATCAAGCAAGGAGGGAGTTGTGGACTTCAACTCCCAGAATTCCTCAGCCAGCAAAGCAAAGCTGGCTGAGGAATTCTGGGAGTTGAAGTCTACAAGTCTTAAAGTTGCCAAGGTTGGAGACCCCTGTTCTATTGGGTAAGTTTTTTTCCCCTTTGGGAGCTTTAAAAAAAATAGTCAATTGGGGTTTTTTTAGTTGTTCTTTTTTAGACCTAGCCATTTAAAGTTTAGGAAGTTTTAAATTTAGCTTTCATATAAAAATAAAATAAAATAAAATAATATTTGTGCAGCTTTCTGAGATTTAGTGTGTTTCTGTAGTGTTTCACTCCAACTACACAAACACACAAAATCTCACAAAGCTGTATGTGGAATTTGGTGTGTGTAAAGTGTGAAAGTTGGTTTTTTGGACTTTTTGTGGCTGTGTGAGGTTCCTGCTTGTTGCAGGGGCCATTTTGGGTCTAGCACAGCTGCTTTTACATTGTGGGTGAGCCAGTTGTGTTGTGTTGTGTGTGTGTTTAGAGTGTGAAAGTTTTTTGGGGGGGCTTTTTGTGGCTGTGTGAGGTTCCTGCTTGTTGCAGGAGCCATTTTGGGTCTAGCACAGCTGCTTTTACATTGTGGGTGAGCCAGTTGTGTTGTGTTGTGTGTGTTTAGAGTGTGAAAGTTTTTTGGGGGGGCTTTTTGTGGCTCTGTGAGGTTCCTGCTTGTTACAGGGGCCATTTTGGGTCTAGCACAGCTGCTTTTACATTGTAGGTGAGCCAGTTGATGTTTTTTAATTTTTATTTGGTGTGCATTGGAAGAGGGGCAGTCTTATATGGCGAGTATAGCCCAAACCCTATATTTTAACAGGAAAAGTTGGGGGTCGTCTTATACTCCCAGTCGTCTTATACGCCGGAAAATACGGTACCCCTTTTTAATTTCAAGAAATCAATATGGTTTACATAATAATGAGCATTGTCACTGTAGGTAAATACAATCAAATCCATTCAATTTAAAAAGCTAATACTGATGTCTTCTTGCTTAGGTGTGCTAACTGTTTTGATTGTCCTTGCTGTATGCACACCCTTTCTACTCGAGCAACAAGTATTCCTGCTCCATTGCCTGATGATCCAGCTAAGACTACAATGAAAAAAGCTTATTATCTGGCCTGTGGATTTTGCCGCTGGACATCCAGAGATGTTGGCATGGCAGATAAATCAGTTGGTGAGTATCATATCTAAAATAAATGGGACTAGGATGGCTTAAAAAACTTTTAACTCTAAAAGTTATCTGTCAAAAGAGGAACATCTGTCTTTGGTTTGCTGATTGATATTTTATGTTCCTATGTTCACGTTAACCAACAGTCAGTTACTAGACTAGAAACACAAGCTGTTTTCTGACTCACATTATACAGTGATGAAGCACACAATATTATATCATTCTAAACAATAAATATACAGTATTAGCCCAGTGATAGATTTAGCCGAGTTACTTTCTATCTAGTTTATTTTTGACTAGAACATGTGTTTCATGATTTTCTTCTTTTTAATGGTTGATGTTATTTTTTGTTATATTGCAGCCAGTGGAGGTTGGCAGGAACCTGAAAATCCTTATACACAAAAGGTAACTAACCCCCCCCAACCCCTCCAAAATCTAGTAATTTAAGTTTGAGAGAATACGTCTCAAGTGTTATTCACAATCTTCCCCCAACTGATTTAGCAGTGTAATATAATTATCGGCCTAGGTATGAAAGTGTATTGGTGGAAATAGCATCAAGTCCATATATTTTTCCATAGCTGCCCTTCTTTGAGACTCTGCCTTCCTGCACTGATCTTATTAGCTTTGGAAATGCAATAGGGACAGCTATGATATATACAGGGAAGATCACAGCCCCTGTATCACTTTTAGAAGAAGGTTTACCTTTTCCTCAGGTCAGTTTTTCTTCTCAGATCAATTGCCTTCCTACAAACAACTAGATAGCTTCTAGTCATTGATGTGTGTAGTAAGTTTTGGAAAGCAAAAGCTTAGAACATTTCTGGATTTCTCCGGTATGAACCTGATTTGACCTTTGAGTACTGAATATCACTTAAGTAAAAAACCCATACAAGGGAAAGACATTGGTAATTCAAAGTTTTCTTTCAGTTTCGCTTTCTGATGCAGTTATTAGGATGATCTTGGAATTAACAGATTAATTAAGCCAGATGACAAAGCTTGATAGATAGAATCCTGCTCCAGATCAGCTTAATTCCTGTTCAGGTAAAGTCACAGCAGTAGTTAGTCCAAGAATGAAGATAAAACTGGTCTGGGTATAGCTTAGTCTATATAAGTAGCATGTGCGTGCACATGCATATCCTATTGTTCTAATAAAACATGATGCCGTTTAAAAAGAACAAAAATATAAGCTACCACATGCCAGAATGTTAAAATATATTTTGGAATATATATCTTGAAACATTTTTTAACATAGTTTTAACACTGCAGGTTTATTCAGGAATAAATTAATTTACTAGGAATGTGAAAGTGAAATAAATCAGGAATATATTGATTTGTCCCCTTTCTCTATGTTTAGCCTCTACAAAAGAACACTAACATCCGTTCAAATGAGTAAATATGTAGTTATGTAGAATAGTGGCACAAATTATTCTATAAAGAAAATAAATAGGGGGAGAAAGAGTTGCTAGGAAGAGAGAGAGTAAATTTCCACTATGTGAAAGTTTGTAAATGCAGTGAAAGTTTTTTTTTAAAAAAATACAGAGTGAATTCAGGAAAAAAATTCTTGTAAAGAATATGCTTTCTCATGAATAGCTTAAATGTTTCTTTTTATATAGGTTAATAAACTGGTGGAATACTATCAACAGTTGGCTCAGAAGGAGAAGATGGAAAGAGATAGAAAAAAATTAGTTCGCCGTCGACCATACATGCCACTGGCTTTTTCGGTAAGCTAGGAAAACAGCACAGAAATTGATGAGATCACACAGTGAGAATCAGATGTAACATTCTAAAGTGCAGTGATATAATCGTTGTAGCTGACATTTTTAAAACTGAAGCAAGAAAATTTAAAAAATAATAATTGGAGCTTATCTGAAGTTTTCATAGCTTATGTTTTATTAACGGGTATCGTCTGCAGTTAGTTCTCAACTTACAATTCATTTAGTGAGTGTTTGACATTACAATGGCACTGAAAAATGTGACTTATGAGCATTTTTCACACTTATGACCATTGCACCATCCCCATGATCTTGTGATCAAAATTCAGATGCTTGATAATTCTCATATTTATGACAGTTACAGTGTTCTGGAGTCGTGTGATTCCCTTTTGCTACCTTTTGACATGCAAAGTCAATGGGGAAGCCAGAAGAAAGAAAGGTCATAAAATGGGGCAAAATATACTTAACTGTCTTGTTTAGCAACAGAAATTTGTGCTGAAATGTACTCGTAAATTGAAGACTACCTGTATTTGACATAACTATAGGCATTCATCCTACGCTTGAAATCAAAGTGACTTGGCTTGAATTTTACAGTATAGGTTCAGATTTGGAAATGCACCCCAATACCTTCGATTTTCAAATGCTGGATTACTGTTATTCTTTATACAGTGATTTAGCTCAGAGTTGGCACAAATGTAATGTCAGAGATACTTAGATTTAAATATGTATTTTGTTTTAATTTTCAGCTATCATTCAGTGTCAAATGAAAAGCTTATTTTTTTTCTTGGCTAAATAATTTTGCATATGCTTGCTGCCTTTTGGATAACTGTATAACCTGCTTGCTCTGTGCATTGCTTTTGTCTTTATTGGTGCATTTTTTTTATCTCCGTTGCTACCTGCCGCTAATTTGGGGCTCTCCACAGCAACATACTATACATGTAGTGGTAAGTTCCTTTAGTTGGTTCCATTAGCTGGATTCAGCTAGTCAAATTGTCTTTATTGCATTTGGATGACTAACATGCTCATAATAGGAAAGTTCACATTCAATCTGAATGAATTAATACACATTTGAGTTTAGTAGTCATATAACGCAGTGTATTCTTAATATTTTTTTTACATAAAACCAAAATTGTTCAGTGTAAGACCCTATAAATGTACTGTAAGGTCCCAATCTTTGATGAACTTGAGTGCTGTTAAGAACATTGGATAGATTTTGCCTGGACAGGTATGATTCTTTGACACAGTTTAGTCCTCTTGAACTATAGACTGCCTATAAATACATTACTCCCTGTCTACAACTTTGCCACTTAAATATTTCTTTCCCTGTTAAAAACCATAAGTCCTTTTAAATAGCAATCCTGAATAGAAACTTTAATATAGATTATATCTGATATGCCATGTAGATAAATGAAATAGCTTTTCTTTCCCTTTAAACTAAAACTTTTGAATCTAGCCTACTTTTCTTTAGAAATTGACAACTTTCAGTTTTGATATCTGCTGTCACAACTCTGTTAATTTGTTAGCAAGTACCTCAGCTGACTGTTGTTAACTCAAGTGTGGTGTAATGATATGATTTCATACCATTATAGTCATTATGTATTTTTCATCTCTAGATCTTCTTCAGGTCTGTTGCAGTAGGGGGTATTTGGCCACAAAAGTACTTTTCCTCCTAGAATTTTAACTATTTATGTTGTAAGTTGCCCAGAGTCATTGGATACAAGATAGGCAGAAAATACATTTAATAAATAAATATTTATGTTCTGAGCTAGAAGACTTAATCATCAATTGAAATTTAAATGTTTAAGTTTAAATTTAAACTTAAAATACTTTTAAGTAGAATAAACTGTGATTGAAGGGCTTGCTCCTTTTTTTAAGCTTTTGTATGTTTGATTTCTGTTCATCAAACTCTGAAAACTTTCTCTGAACAGAGAAAACTACCAGATTTGCTTTTCTTGTAATTGATTCATCTTGTTTTTAAGCTGCCCCCAAACCCCAAAATGGTATGTTTTCATTTGCCGACTCACTTCTGGTTGTTGACAGGTAATCCTTGACTGACAACCACAGTTGGGACCAGAATTTTGGTTTTAAGTAATTGTGGTTGTAATTGTGATCAGACTCGCTTTTATGACTGCTTTTACGACAGTCATTGAATGAGTCACTGTGGTAGTTAAAGCGAACCACGTGGTTGTAAGGGTGAAACCACTTTATCCAATGGACATATTTTTTTCTGAAAAATGGCAAAAAAGTAGCAAAATGTGATAATATGACTGTGGGACACTGCAAGCTGATTGTAAATGTGAGCTGACTGCCAACCGCCTGAAACGCATGACTATGGGGATGGTGTGGCAATCATAACTTCAAGGATGGGTCATATATAACTTTCCCCCCCAGTTTCGTTACTTTGAAGGCTTGTTAAGCAACCAGACATAAATCAAGGATTATCTGTATCTTTTGTAGGACAAATATGGCCTTGGAACCAGGCTCCAACGTCAGAGGCCTGGGGCCCCTATCAGCGCCCTAACTGGACTTTCGTGAGTACTAGTTCTTTCTTATCAGTGATTGATTAAAGTTACATTGCTTAATCCAATCATATAAAATAGAAATAGCCTCAGAATCAAGGATAATTCTAGATCTTCCTTCAGAATCAGTGTGTGGACATCTAAGCTATACCTGCGAACTTGTCTAAAGTGTCATTTTATTAAAAAAAAATCAGCTCATGTTCTTACCTCTAAAATTTGCTATTATCTATGTTAATTCAGTGATTAAAATATAAATTAGGTTGCTTTACAGCTTGGTACTACTATTCCAAGTGCTGCAAGAATATCTGAACATAAATAAAGAATTGATCTCTAGCAGCTCTATACTGCTTCATTTGAACCAGGAATTTAGTATTACTCAGGTTTTTATGGTTTCTTTTAAAAGCAATCAATCCATTTCCTTTGCCTCAGGCTAAAAGAAGGGGAAGACCACAAGGAGATAAAAATTGAACTAGCTCAGGCTGTGGAAGAAGTAGAACCTTTACCTGAGGATTATTACACAAGGCCAGTCAATCTAACAGAAGGTAATAGTTTAGCTTGTCTTTGTCACATTTCTGTCCAAGCTGAGTGATTCAAATGATGTTTGTTATTATTATTCAAAATCATTAACTGAGATTATGAATTTTCTGAACTTCCTGTGTTGTGAACAGTGACAACCTTAAAGCAGCGCCTCCTGCAGCCAGATTTTCAGCCCATTTGTGCTTCTCAACTTTACCCACGTCATAAGCACCTTCTGATCAAACGCTCACTGCGATGCAGGGTATGTAGTCACTATAAAAAACTATACTGCCATCACAGTCACTTTTGACAAAATTAGAGATTATACGCAAATTCCAGAATGTCCCATCCTGGAATTGTTCCGATTTTGTAGTTGTAAATTTATACTGCTAAAAGTGTAGCAAGTGTAGCTTGATCTTTCATGATACCAAGTTCATCTTATTTTGCGTTGTGAGGTCACAAAGATGCAACTTTCCCTGTTTCATTCCAGTGGCTACTGATAATAGTGATAAGGAGTAAAATGGAATACTGAAAATTCCAGGCAATGCATGCTAAATAAATTGAATGAGGTAGACACTAAGTGCTTTATTTCAAGTACAAGCATATTGAGCTGAATTAGTTCTTTAGTTCTTATTTGAAATATGAGAACTAACGACCTAAGGAAAGACTAATAAAAGACTAAGCTCCAAAGAGGTAAAGAATCTTACCCTAAAAGATACACATTCCAAGGGTGGGACAAGAGGAAGCACAGTTTGGAGCTGGATTGTGAGAAGAGGAAGATATATTTAGGATAGGCAATTCCTCCCTAGAATTTCTCAGGGTATCTCCATTAGGTTGGAGTAGCATAGGTTTTATCTGGCAAGATTCTGTCTTTATCAGCAAAAAATAAAAGTTGGTATAAAATGGTTTAATCTGGCAAGATTCGGTCTATACGGTGTTATGCAAATAAAGAATTGAAGATTGACTGACTATTTTTACGTCCGTCTTGGGCTAGGCCTGACAATAGAGGAGATTCTTTTTAGGAAACAAAGTTTTTTTTTTTAATGTCTGAATAAAATCTTTCAACATTTTTATAGGCTACTTCCATTGTTAAGGAAATGCTTTTTGTTCATATGGATGAATGCCCTTGGTCCCGGTCCCCCCCCATATGCTCGTGCCACTTCCTTCCTTCATATCTATTCTGGAGAACATTGGGTTCTCTGTAGCAGATTTGAGATTCTACTGTCAACAGCCACTCTTGGAGCCCCTTACATTCTGTTTAGTGAATTGAGTAAAATAAAATGATTCTGCAGTGATATTTGTAATTCTTGAGCATAGCTTTTCAAACTTCTTATTATCATTTTTTTTCTTTTTTTGTAGAAATGTGAACATAATTTGAGTAAACCAGAGTTCAACCCCACATCGATAAAATTCAAAATTCAATTGGCTGCTGTGTAAGTATTATGGAAACTGACTGCAAGAAATCAAAAGACTTGAAGCAAATTCTCATGGTTGGGACAAATCTATATCTGCTGTATACAGTTTCTTCTAGCAAATAAAGGTTCTCACAATCCAAGTTCCAGCATGCAAAAAAATAGTGTGCTAGTAGCAGACTTCCTACTTTAGCTTTTCTTCTGAATATAGATACAATAAATGTCTGAAAATATAGTTTTTAAAATTCCAGTTTTATTAAACAATGCAGTGCAATCGGCTAGACATTATGTTAAATATTATGTTTTTCTTTGACAAAAGGCTGTAATGCCCATTTAATTCTAATAGTGCTTCTAATAGTTCAGTTGGTTTCTGCTCTAGCAAATTGAAAATTAGTATTACTCATTGACAATGCTAACTGGCAGGTAAGATTTATTCTACTTATCCTAGCCAGAAGATAAGATGACATATATCGCATGGAGGAAACTGCTTCCTTCAGTCTTTAGCCTTGATTTCTAAAAAAAGACAGCTGTCTTTTCAGCTCTACGGTAAGGGTTGAAAAAGAAAAAATAAATAAAAGGGATTGGGAAAAGCCATGCTTAGTCGCTTTATCAGTGAGATGGGCGGCATATAAATTTAATAAATAGATTAATAAATAAATAGTGAAAAGTTGGTGCTAACATCATGAAGTGTGAGTAATCAAGCTAAGTGATTCTGGCAAGCATCACTCGCCACTCTGAAAAGAGATCACACCTGATGATCAGTGATTAGCATTGCATTGCACATTCAGAGATTGGACTGAATTGTGGAGAATTGGTCTCCAAAGCAGTGGAACATAACAGAGGAAACGAGCACCAGTGTTAATATTGAACACCTCTATAGTACAGCTGAATAATCTTCCCATGCAGGCCATGGTAGCTATAACTAGCTCAACCTCCTACTGCCTGAGCAAGCCAGTCTTTAGATCTTAGTTGTAACCAATACTGAAATAGTTGCTTATAATGCATAGGCTCTTTCATGCTCAACAGAAAAGAGGAAAAAAGGATGACATAGGAAGGGGCCATCCTGACAGCATCAGAGATAAAGAATCTATAACAGCAAAGAGAGAGTTGCTTATATTTTGAGATAAGTTCATGAAATGATGCAAGAATCCCTTATCCCACGAGGAGAGAGGCACATGTTTATTGATAGACTCAACAGCTCCCACCCTACAGGATATGGAAAGATAGGGAGGTTTAAGAAAGCAGTGGCTGATTTTGTTTATTATCCTGTAAACTATCCAACATTGTTCTTCCATTTCCTATGTGCTCGTGTCAATGGCAAGTTTTTTTTTTTTTTTACTACAATGATTTACCCTAGAAAGCAGTTAAACTATCCTGCTGAAATAATTGTAGGAGACCCATGTTAAATCTATGGTAGTAGATTTAAAATCAGAAGGGAGAGGAAGATCTTACCATTTGGAAAACAAGCAAACCCAAAACTTCTAATGGCACAATTGAGTGAAAGGTAGTTGATTTCACATACATCAAAAGGTTTCAAGGAACATAATGGTTTTTAACATTACAATTAACACTATAATCTATGTAATATGTAACCTGCATAAATGAACTGTTTCCCCCTCCCCTCATCCTAATTTGAATCCTGTATCACTTTATTAGCTCACAAGTCATAAAATATGTAAGCCTGGAAAGGTGCTACCAGACTTCTGATTTTCAGCTGAAATTAGTGCATGCTACTGAAGGGAGGTTATTTCCTTCATGGCGTAAGAAAATGTCTTCTAGTCCTGCCTACTAGTTGAAAGAAATGAAATTAACTCTTTCCTGTGAGGTCCATCTTTCTGTGAATAGAGAAAGGAAATTCACAGTAAGCCCAATTAATATATTGTATGAAAAACCAAACTGGAAGCTATAAATTATAATATAATATCCTTTTAAAAAACTGTTTCCCAATCACATATTTTGCCAATTTTTAAAAATGCTTCATTGTTGAGAATAACATACTTTTCAGAGTATAAAACACACTTTTTCCCCCCCTAAAAGAAGGTGGAAATGTTGGTGCGTCTTATACCCAGAATACAGCCATTTTTGGCCTCCTGAAATCCCGGCCTGCGTGTCCTGTTTTCGCCAAAACCAGGGCCATTTTTCGCACAAATGGGGCCTGCAGAGGGCTCGGGAGGCCTGCAGAGTGCTCCTGGGGGCTGGGGAGGGCAAAAACGTGACGCATGGGAGGTAGGGATGCCAAAAACGGGTGCGTTTTTTGTGAAAACAGCATTTTTGCCTTCCCCAGCCCCCAGGAACACTGTGCAGGCCTCCCAAAGACCCTGCAGACCCCAATTTTGCGAAAAATGGGCCCATTTTTGGCCTCCCAAACCCCCCACGTGTTGCGTTTTTGCCCTCCTCAGCCCCCAGGAGCACTCTGCAGGCCTCCCAAACCCTCTGCGCATCCCGTTTTTGTGAAAAACGGGCTCATTTTTCCCAAAAATGGGACGCACAGAGGGTTTAGGACTGGTGAAATCCAATTTTTTTTACTACTGGTTCTGTGGGCGTGGCTTGGTGGGTGTGGTGTGGCTTGGTGGGTGTGGCAGGGGAAGGATACTGCAAAATCTCCATTCCCACCCCGCTCCAGGGGAACAATACTGCAAAATCCCCATTCCCTCCCCATTCCTGGGGGAAGGATACTGCAAAATCTCGATTCCCACCCCACTCTTGGGCCAGCCAGAGGTGGTATTTGCCAGTTCTCTGAACTACTCAAAATTTCTGCTACCGGTTCTCCGAACTACTCAAAATTTCTGCTACCGGTTTTCCAGAACCTGTCAACCTGCTGGATTTCACCCCTGGTTTGGGAGGCCTGCAACGTGCTCCTGGGGGCCGGGGAGGGCAAAAAAATTTTTTTTCTGGTTTACCTCTTCAAAATCTTGGTGCGTCTTATACTCCAGTGTGTCTTATAGTCCAAAAAATATGGATAATTTGAAAACTGCATAATTGAAAAAATGAGGAATTTAAAATTATAAAGCATAACAAAATGGCTAGACACAATGCCATTCATATATTTCCTGTTGGTGTTTTTTATTTGTATTTATAGCAATTACATTCCAGAAGTGAGAATCATGTCTATTCCCAATCTGCGCTATATGAAGGTTAGTAATTGTTTACTTTAACCCTCTTTTGAGATGAACCTTCCAAGCTTCATATAAGTGGCTGCATATAAGTGGCTATTAAATCTTTTGTTTTGTTTAAAATGTGACAGAGGCTTGGAAAGCTAACATGTTATATTTAATAATATTGGTTCAGTGAGGGCATGGCTTTAATTCATGGTTTCACAATCCACCGTTTTTAAATTGGATTCAAAAGCCTATCAGGATGAAGCAATTGAAAAGGATGCCCATAAGGAATGCCCATGACAACGTAATGTTAGAAGTTTAATGTGTGCTTTTGAGAATTATAAATCTTGAAACATTTCCCCCTTATCTTTTATGTAGGAAAGACTAGGTATAGTGATAATGCCAAACCTGAAAACCTGAAAACTTTGAGGTGTCAAATCTCTCCCAGAAGCCCTATAGTTTTAGAAGCCATGGCCCACTTTCCTAGCATCAGGGTAGTACTTGTTAATTATTATGATCATCATGTGACTTCCTAGCATGTCTTTGCTTGATGCCCTTTCACTAATCTTGCAAGTGCTTTGGCTTGTGGTAAAAGGCAGGGAAAAAGATTGGGGGAAAAAGAAATTTAAAGGTGCTATTCTTTGGCCTTTGCAGCGTTGAGGTGTATACTTGTGGAAAATAGCCCCCCCCCCCCCTTCCTTTCCTTTGGGAAGCTAGAGTATGATTACAAGTTATAATTTGAAAAGAAAATTGCTTTATTAAAAATAAAGTGAAACATTCAGTGGACAAAGATATTAAAGTATACAGTGCTGCTCCCCTAGGGGGAGAGCCTTCTCTGTGGGGGCACCGATGATCTGGAATGAGCTCCCCCCAGAGATACGAAGGATTCCGGATCTGCGCACCTTCCGCCGCGAGTTGAAGACGTTTTTATTTCATCAATCTGGCCTCGCTTAAATCTTCTCCCTTTTAAGTGTAAATTTTAAAATTTTAAATTCTTAATGTATTTTAAAAAATGGGTATCTTAAATTATGGGTACTAATTCAGCCAAATTTATTTAATTCATTTTATTTGATTTTAAATTTTGTATATCTATGTGTTTTATTTTATGGCTGTGCACCGCCCTGAGTCCTTCGGGAGTAGGGCCGTATAGAAATTCAATAAAATAAAATAAATAAATAAATAAATAATCATAAACACTTTATAGAAATCTCCCACTGGGAAAAAATCCCTCAATATACATGTTTTTTTGAAAGATTCTACAATATAAAAGCAACTCTGAGGGAAAGAGATGCTACTTTCTATCAGACAGGACTGTGTTTATAATAGAGACAATAACCAGAGATAGGAAATTAAAACCAGACAGCCCCCTCAAAAATTTTAATGTAGTGATAACTAGGCATATACTAATGCTTCAGATTCCTCTTACCTATCCTTGCTGGAACTTTCAGTCTTAAATTTGAGGTTAGAAGTGAATCTTGACTTCCTCCAACCCAACCCCACAATTTCTTGCTTCTTTCTCCCAGAAGTCTGTGGGAAAAGAGACTTTTTTTTTCTCTATCAAAGAGGAAAGAGTTTGTGGGGAGGCAATTAGACTTTTGCTGTTTGTTCTCAGCCATGCCTCAGGAAGCACCTTCCATCAAGAAAAAGGTCTGGTTGAGAAGTGTATGTATGAACTGGTTGCCTGGGGTAATAAGCTGAGTGAGGGTGAAACAGTGAATATCCTAAAGTTTTGTTCTGCTGTAGGGTGGCTGCTTGCTATTTCAGATTTTTGTGTTTGATTTTGGTTTGGTTGACTGCAAACCAACTCATAATTTTCAATATGAATTGGATATTTATAGTTTAGAAAAATGAATGGGCTATTTAGAAGGTTAACACTTCCTAAAAGGGCATCGTACAGACAAAAATGGTCATATAGAACCATATAGAACCTTCATGAATATTTTGTCTCTTATATACTTCTGTCATTCATAGGAAAGTCAAGTTCTTCTAACTCTAACCAATCCAGTGGAAAACCTTACCCATGTGACCTTAAAAGAATGTGAGGAAAATGATCCTGAGGATATTAATAGCACTGCAAAGGTAGTATAGTTTATCATCTTACGTGTATAAGCTAATGATATATACTCTGATACTGTGCTAAAAATATATGAATTGTGAATATCTGCATAGTCCTTTTTTAGGTTTAGAATGGTTTTCTGCCTTACTCCAACAATGTGTTATTTTTAAAAAAGGAGAGGAGGCCTTTAATGTCCATGATTAGCATGGGTATTAGATCTTGTGAGAAGATCTTTTGGATATGAGAAGTTTCCATAGTAGTTCAAATTTCATTAGCAATTACAGTTGTTTTCATATTTGTTATGAAACCTTTTTTTTCTATTAAAATAAATCTTTATTTACATTTATAGTTAAAAAAGAAAACAACACACCACACATATAACAAAACAACAAAACAGAGAACATAAATGCATATAAATAATGCCTTTTTTTTCTGTATCTCTTTTCAGGTGATGGTTCCTTCCAAGGAACTAATCTTGGCTGGCAAGGATGCAGCAGCAGAATATGATGACTTGGCAGAATCTCAAGATTTTCAGGATGACCCTGAGTAAGTTTGTCTGTTTTCACAATTATAGACTTGCATTTACCAGCTGTTGAAAATTGACCAATGCTACCCTGACTTTTTCTAGGGCGAAATTAAAAAAAAAATTTTTTTTCTCCTAGTAGCAGTAGATCCTAAATAGACTAAATAACATATTTCATAAAATGCCGATGGAATTTTCTACATCTATATTTCGACATGCTTAGCAGGAAGGAAGAACCTACTACATCAGTGATTTTAGTTCTGGCAAACATCAGCAGCAGATGCAGCCTCCATTAGACATTAGTTTGGATACCTTGCAAAAGGAATTAAATACATTTATGGAAGATAGATCTATCACTGTTGGCAATGCAGCTGAAAAATCTCCAGATTTAAAGACAGAATGCCACTGGGCACTACTTGCCAGGGAGATAGTATTCTCATAGACGTTGCTAGGGAGTAAGTAGCAAAGTTAAGGCTCTTTTTGTGAGCATCCCAAAGGCATTTGGGTGGCTACTGTTGGAAGCAAGATGATGGACTTAATCTTTTCTCTAACCCAGCTCCAAATTTGTTTTGTAGCCATTTCTTGAGTAATGTAACTATTTAGGCCTGTTTCCCCCTATCTCGAGAACTACCTATCTTATGTTCAGTAATCCTAAAGATAAGATAAAATTTTTATTGTAATTTTTTTACTGTGAGAACATTGGCACAGATTAAAAATGAAATTGTTGCCTACTCTCAGAAGAAAGTATACTCATACCCATACATAACACATATATTCACTTACTATATACAAACATATATCCACACTCATAGCCCTTCACCCCCACCCCCACCCCCCAAACTGGGGTGAAATGCTACCGGTTTGCTCTGGTTCAGGCGAACCGGTAGTGATTAAAAACTACCGGTTTGGGCGAACTGGTACTAAAAAAAAAGCTACTGGTTCCTCTGAACCGGTATTTCCAACTGTCAGCTGTGCAGCGGGGTTTAGCTTTGCTAGAAAGCAGAAAATCCTGCTTTCTAGCAAAGCTAAACTGCACACCATAGCTGACCTCCCCCCCCCCCCCCCGTTGTTCTATTTACCTTCCAAGCCTCCTTTTAGTGCATACTGCGCATGCACGCACTCGTAGCACATGCCAAAAGGACGCTTGGGAAGGTAAGTAGAACAGCGGGGTGGGGATCAGCTGTGCAGCGGGGGTTAGCTTTGCTAGAAAGCAGGAAATCCTGCTTTCTAGCAAAATTGCGTGCCACAGCTGATCCCCCCCCCTGCTTCTACTCCCCCCAAGCCTCCTTTTGGTACGTATTGTGTATGCGGGCACACAGTGCGCATTTGGTGTGCATTGCGCATACACGTGGAGCGTGTGTTTGGCACATGGCGCGCATGTGCAGCCAGCAAACGGGTAGCAAACCGGTTCGGATTTCATCACTGTGCCCCACATACACATATACATACATACATACATACATACATACATACATACATACATACATACTAATCATTGTCCATCTTGAATACATATCTGAAAGAGGAAGCTTGAGTGTTTACAAGGTTGATACTATATGGAACAAAACTATGATTGAATCTGATTGTTCTGCTTTGGATACTGCAAAGCCTCCTCCCAGAAAATAACAAGGAAAACAGATCATGAAGAGGATGTGTACCATCCCAGACAATATAACAGATCCTGGACAAGCATCGCCTATATGAGGTTGAGAGTATTGCTAGGATTGTTCTTGCAGTATAAATTTGTATAGCTTTTATAGCTTTTAACTATTAAAGCAAGATATAGTATGGTAATTACGGTAATTATTCTAGTAAAGGTTTTCCTGATGAAAAAATGGATGACATTATTTGCTCCTGAGAATTGAGAGACCCTGGAGCAGCATTGAAAGTTTGCAAGATTTGGGAAATTGAATTGGCAGTTATTTGCTTGAACAACAAACTATTTCAGTATTATTATTATTGTTGTTGTTATTATTCTTTTATTCATTAAACATGAAACTCAGTCAACTGAACATTTAAAAATGTGTCACAGATATGATTGACTGGTGCTAATGATTGATACGGGTTGCTGCCAGCGCCCTAGGTATCAACCAAGTGTCTTCTTAAAATATATGATGTTCCAGTAGCAGTTTTTTGCAGTTCCGCTGGTGTTATTGCAGGAAGCTGCAATTTCTTGATGATGATGATGATGATGATGATGATGATGATGATGATGATGATGATTCCTGTTTTGTAGCATCATAGCTTTCCGGAAGGCTAACAAAGTTGGGATATTCATCACAGTTACTCCACAGAAAGAAGAAGGAAAAGTTACCGTAAGCTTTAAGATGAGACATGAATTCAAAAATCTTGCCGCTCCAATCCGCCCCACAGAGGAATGTGATCAGAGTTGTGAAGTCATTTGGCTCACCCATCATGTGGAGCTTAGCCTGGGCCCCCTGCTTCCTTGAAGTTTGTGTTTTAATTGGTTGCTAAATGATAGTTGCCTGTTATACTGTGCTTTGAAAATGCATTCTGATAAAATGCTGGTTCTACAGAGATGCCTTGGAAAGTGAAATTTCAGCCAAAAAAGGTAGAGTTGAAACAGAAAAAAGATACTTTTTTTCCCTCCTTCTCTTCATATTCATTACATGAATTAGTGATTCTGTCACTATACCACATGCGTAGTCAATGTGACAGTACAGGCTTAGTGTGCATGATTGTAGTTATCTTCTATCTTCCTTAAAAAAAAGTCACACACTAGTTCCTTGCAAAACCTTTTACTAGCTTTCCTTGCGCCAATTTAACCAAGCTAGATTTGGACAAAATCTCTTTCCTTCTCTGGTGCATTTTCTGATAACTGGATTACTGATAGTAGTAATTACGTCAACTAGATTTTTCAGTAAAGCAATAATCAGCACAGCAGCATGACATGTCTTGCTTTCACGATCTGTCAGCCATCTCAAATATTAACTGCTAAGTTAATATTTTTATTGTACCATTTGTGGCATTTCATTGTTTTGTTATGGACAATTCCTGAAAGGAAGACAATTAAGAAACTAGCACATGAATCAATACTATATCGTTGGAAGATTTAACTTCTTAGGCTGGAGAATGCTTATTTAAAGGAAATGCAATTTAGAATACTTGTATTTGCTGATGTATTGCATTTATTGAAGCAAGAATCCAATTAGGAGAAGCACTAGTGTTTTTGTTAAATTATTCCTTTAGGAACAGGATATTGACCAAAGATAGCTCATTATGATTTTAATTACATTTAGTATGTAAATTTGAACTTTTAAGACCTCTTGGAAAAGTAGCTACCATCACTACCGTGCAATTTTGCACCAAAGGTATAAAATCTTATTCTCCTATTATAAAGTATAATTCCTAAGTTTTGGGTCTTGAATTTTAATGATTTAAAATTTAATATTGTAGCACTGCATACACATTGTATGTAATGGGAAAGTGAAAAGATCTGATTGCAGACTGGTGGCCATGGGCACTCATTACAGTATGAATATTTATCATGTAGTCCAAGATTGGAATGGAGAAGATGAACAGAAATGTATAATTGGAAGATGTACTTAAGGCCCTTGGAAATATATTTCTAATTTGTTAGAAAGTATATTTAAACAGTTTTAATTTGTTTAGCACTATTTAAATAAAAGTTTCACCTTTGTATTTTGTGCAATTGATGTAAAAAAAGTTTGATGTAGATTATATACATTGTGCAGCATGAATTTAAGGCATCTAGGCAATATCTATTCAATGTGTAGTACAATATTAATGTCTGCTGCTCTCAAATTTATACATTATGATTTAACTCCCCACGCTAATTAAAAGTCCAATTAATAAGCTAATATTGTAATGAACTAATATATATTTAAGATTTCTTGTAAACACATACAAAGTTGGGACATACTTGAAAAGTCTTTTCTCCTTTTAACCTCTTAGAATATAGGAATACTTGTACATATCCCACTTCACATATCTGTAAAAATATCTCACTGGAGGGACATTCTGCCTTTATCAGTATTAGGATAACTGTGTTGCCTTATTGTATAATTTAGTGAACTTCAAATAAAATAAGCAGACAAAGCTGCTTTCATGTATTTTTCCTTTATCATATTTAAGATTTTTCTGTCATATTTGTATGACTAGAAGTAACTACGGTAGCCTACATTTCTTTTGGCAATGCTAGCATAACATCATGATTTGTAATACTGGACCAATAAATTACTTTTGCACATCTTTAACAAGGCATGCAAAAGTCCCAACTTTTGAATTACAGATAGTCCTTGAATTACGACTACAATTGAGCCCAAAATTTCTGTTGCAAAGTGAAACATATGTTAAGAGAGTTTTGCTCCATTTTATGACCTTTTCTGCCACAATTGTTAAGTGAACAATTGTTAATGTAGTTGTTAATTTAGTAACCAGGTTGTAAAGTGAATCTAGCTTCCCCATTGACTTGGCTTGTCAGAAGGTGCCAAAAGGGGATCACATTACCCCGGGACACTGCAACTGTCATAAATATAAACCAATTGCCAAGCATCTGAATTTTGATCACCTGACTATGGGGATACTGCAATGGCTGTATGTGTGAAAAATGGTCATCAGTCCCTTTTTTCAGTGCCAGTCACTAAATGAACTGTTGTGGGTTGAGGACTACCTGTACTCCATAAAAAGCGGAAACTTGTGCGGTTTTTTAACATTCACAAATGTGAATCTGATCAATGCTGCTTCTATAAAAAAGGTTAATTGAAACTATTATCTAACTCGCATTACTATCCTTTGGTTTCACTTGTGAAACATGTATTGCACTTATAGGCATGATTAGAGTAAGATTAGTTGAAAGCATTCATCCATCTTATGTACATCCCACTCATCTAACCAATAAGAAAGCAAATAGCAAACACTATTTTAGTAAAATTATTTACTTTTTTCTGTGAAAATCTATTTTGTGGTGATGTCTGTTGTGAAAACACTTCTTGCAAGTAGAAATGTTAACTGTCCTTTAGCAAATTAGAACTGAAATTAAAGTGCTATGCCAAATGCTTTGTAGCGGCAATCAAAAGGGTAAGACTGGCAATAGGCAGGAACTGATAAATGCTATAGAACTACTAGGGTGTATTTACTTCGAACACAAGACAGCTGAGAATTGGGGCTCTATAACACAATGTGTTCTCGAGGGATAAGAGTAGACCACACAGAAGACCTAGCAAAGATCTTTAGATGAGGTCTTGGGAATGCTCTCAATTCAGAACCAGCACCAACAGCAAACAGCACTGTAGATAAATAAACTTCTAAACATATCAGTGGGCTATAGAAACATTTAGAGTTCTTGTATAGAGTAATTTACAATATAATACCATATATTTAAGACTCTATAACTAACTCCCAGGTTCTCCAAATTGTTCATTTGCAATTGATATTTATTCTATTCCACCAAGATCATAGGTTTTTAAAAACTTCAAAAATAACTTCCTGATAATTAATTTTCATATTATTTCTCTTCCTGCCACCTGCCCATATGGTACAACGAAAAACCTTGAGATACTTGGCATAGGGTCTGTTAACAAAACAAAAATTCAGAATGCTTTGGATTGTGTTTTGTCCAAGATGAACAGAAAATTTTGTCTGCCAATTATGTTCTAAATTTAAATTTTGTCTGCCAATTACGTTCTAAATTTAAAAACTGCCATCTATTTTAAAATCCTTTCAACCTTAGAGCTGGAGGATAAATCAAGTTGTAAAAAAATATTAATAAAAAATGGAGTACTGTAAAGCATTCTTCATCTGAAGAATTATACTAGGCAATAACACTGAAAGCTAGTGTCTGATTCTAAGAAAACATTTGCTGAAAATAGCATCTGCAAAATATTTCTGAAAGCCATCATGCACCTGGGCCGCGGAGGTGGGCAGTCTGAGTGGAAATAAATTGCCTGAATTGCCAAATCTGAATTTTATGGCTGTGTGTTTGGGACCATATTTATTTGTAATAGAATGTATTAGTTTCCATATACCAATTAGACTTTCTAAAAGAAAAATAATAGAGGTCGTTTGATTTTTCACCACATCAACACATTATTCTCTCACTGAGAATAATATGACTATGCTTTATAATTTTCAGGCAGATTGATTGTATAAATCAAGAGCATCCATTAGGACTTCTATCACAGGCTTTTTACACAGAAGTTGGTGTTCGGTGTTTTATGCAGAGTTTCAATTGGATCTCAAGTAAAAATCATTGATCTATACAGATCTATACCTTGGATCCACATTTTTGTTTTGCAATGAGTCAATGCAAAACAAAATGCAATTTCATATGATGGCTTGTGCAGACAGCTGTGATTTCATGATGGTTACTCCTGAGAGCAAACATCAGGCAAAATCAAACATCTGTGCTCTGTATCCCAGATTTAACACAGCAGTGCCAACAATTGTGGGATCTAATCTGAATCCATCTTTCTGCATTACAAGTTTGTCCAAAATATATTGAATTTGTGATTGTGATGTTTTATTGCATGCAGTTAAATGTCTTCCCTGATACTATTTGAATGCTATATAAAAATAATATGAAATCAAAAGGATCTGTGTCTTGAATCCCCATTTTTGTGGTATTAAAGAGAGCTATGACTAGGATGTACTTTATGCTGGCAGACATGATTTTTTATTTGATTGTGATTTCAGATAGATCCCTGATAAAATTGCTTGACTTACAAGCACAGCTGAGCCCAAAATTCTGTTGCTATGCGAAACGTTTAAGTGAATTTTATTACCTTTCTTGCCACAGTTATTAAGTGAATTACTGCACTTGTTAAGTTAGTAACATAGTTAAATGAATCTGGCTTCCCCATTGACTTTGCTTGTCAGGTTACAAAAGAGGATCACATGACCAGGGGACATTGCAACCATCATAAATATGAGTCATTTGTCAAGCATCTGAATTTAGATCACATGACCTTGGGGAGGCTGATACGGGCATAAGTGTGAAAAATGGTCATAAGTCACTTTTTTCAGTGCCATTGTAACTGAACGATTACTAAATGAACTGTTGTAAGTTGATGACTACCCATATTTAACTGTTTCCCATATTCTGGTTCTCATCAACACTTCTACCTTCTTTCTCATATATCACATATTTTGAAGAGGAAACATTTTTAAGGGACAAAAATTATATTTAAAATACAAATATTTTAAATATTTGAGCCTTGGTGGCGCAGCAGACTAAAGTGCTGTTAAGTAACACCAGCTGCCTGCAATTAGTGCAAGTTCAAATCTCACCAGGCTCAAGGTTGACTCAGCCTTCCATCCTTTCGAGGTAGGTAAAATGAGGACCCAGTTTGTGGGGGCAATAAGCTGACTTCGTATAAAAAAAAGAACGCCGCTTGGGGGGGAGGGGGGCTGAAAGCTCTACTAAGCAGGTATATACAAAAGTACGAAAGCTATTGCTTAACACATTGTAAGCCGTCCTGAGTCTCCGGAGAAGGGCAGCATATAAATCGAACCAATAAAAAAAAAAAAAAGGAAGAGGATGATATTGAAAGAATGATATTGGAAAGAGGATGATATTGAAAGAGATTTAGGACTAGAGTTTTGTAAAGAAAATAAATGATGTAGACCATGTTAATATGAACTGTTAAATTGTCACTGAAGACAAATGACCAAGCTGAAGTTATCCTACTTTAGATACATTGTGGAAAGACCTAGCTCTGGAAAAAGCTCTGATTCTTGGAAACTGGAAGAGGACAACTAGCAGCGAAATGGATGGACTTAGTTACAGTGATGATAGCTACACTGTTAAAAGATCTGAAATACGAGATTAGGGATAGCTTGTCATGTAGAAAATCTATGCGGTCACTAAGAATATCAACTTGATGGCACAAAATCAATGTTATAATTGGAATAGGAGCTAATTGTTGAGCACATTTACAGTATTCCACAATTTACTTAAAAAAACACCCCAGAAGTATCTCTTGATGAAGGTCAATGATCTTAAATCAATAAAACAAGCAATGGTTATTAGCGTACTAGTAGTATTCAAACAATTTATAGGTCTGCCCACCTTATAGTAAAATGCCTTTATTATTTGGTGGGGAGGGTTAAAACGAAAAAGACTTAAGTGTGCTTTTTCTGGAGTTTCACGTTCAGAAAAGTATGCATAATAGATCCATCGTATAAATATATTCGGAAACAAGATCCACTTTACTCAGTGAGTCTGCTAGATCAGGGGTCTCCAACCTTATCAACTTTAAGCCTGGTGGACTTCAACTCCCAGAATACCTGGTTGGGGAATTCTGGGAGTTGAAGTCCGCCAGGCTTAAAGTTGCCAAGGTTGGAGACCCCTGTTCTAGATAGCAGCTGAGTTTTAAGTAATACCTGCGGAGTAGGCGGTGCGTTGAAGCCGAGTTGTGATTCGCCTTGAAATACGATGCTGTACTTATGAATATCCTAACGATCTAGAGCAGGGGTGGGCAACTGTGGCCCTTTTACAACCTGTGGACTTCAACTCCCAGAATTCCTGAGACAGCTTGGCTGTCTAGGGGTTGTCAATGGTGCTGAAAAAATGCACCGGTTATTTTCTCTTAAGTGCCCATTGCGATTCTTCCCCCCCCCCCCGTCTTAAAAGCAGAAGTCTGCAACTAAGTACTATAGTTAGTGGAAGTCGCCTCCGCTTCGCCCACGTTAGCCGTTAAGTCAGCCCGCGCTTGGAGGTCAGGTCTGGTGACAAGCCCAGGGGAGGCGCTTCCGCTTCAACCGATCAAAAGCGAGCGACCCCATCTAATAGGGCATGAAAAAAAATAAATAAACCCGCCCCTTACAGCCATTGGTCAAGAATCTGGACTACGGAAAGGTACTTCCGGAGTGCAGAGCGTCTACTTCCCGGCCTGCTCTTTTTTTTTTTTTTTTTAATAATACTTTAAGCACAATAAAATGGCGACGTCTCTGGGATCCAACACGTACAATCGGCAGAACTGGGAGGATGCGGTAACCATGTTGTCCTTTGGGTTTGGGTGCCTTGGCTTTGGTAGGAGGGGAGAGGGCGGCTCTGAATCGGCCGGTCCGTTGACAATCGTCCTGCTTCGTGGCCGAAGAGGCTTCGATCCGTTTGCTCGAGAAGGGATGTTGGAAAGCGTGCCGAGGCCGGTGCTGCTGCTGCTGCCTGCTCTGAGCTTCCTTGCGGCAGGGATAGAGAAGCCGAGGTCTCCGGAGCAAGGCTACCTTCCTCCCCGGGTCACACGGAGGGACCGGGCCGATCCCGTACCTTGATCAGTTTCCCCGGAGGAATGAATCGTGTGTGGCTTCCTTCCCTTTCGCTTAATTTAGGCAAGCTTAGAGCACTTAGTTCCTTGAGATCCTGTAGCTCTTCAACCATGTGTGATTGGAAGAGTTGTGTCGTTTTCTTTTTCTTTTTTCATCTACAGCCCCTTTTGGTGTACAACAGGGTAGTGATGAGGTGTGCTTTTATCTTGGTCTTGGAATAATTACACTTTTTTTCTCTCTTAGGATTTCCCTATTTTGTGCCAGACCTGCCTTGGAGAAAACCCCTATATCCGAATGGTATGTTGTTTGTGAGGGAATGATACTTAAAACACATAATAAAGGTAAAAGGAAAATGTTAACTTAGCTGGGTGCATAAAGGCAAGATTAAAGGAAACTAGAACTTCATTTCATAGTTCTTCATGTTTAGCCTGGCAAATGATCTATATACTCACCGTGCATGAATTTTTCAAGTACATTAATGAAGAGATTTATTTGTGTATATATGTATCCTTTTTGGTACATTAAAAGCAAGCTCTAACTTTGAAGATGATGTAAAATTTCTTGGAGATCAAGAAATAGATTTCTGATAGGTCTTTGATATCTAGACTCTTTTGGAAGATGAAGAATGATGATTTCTTGCATGTTATTGTTTTGATTTTAGTAGTGATTGGAGACTGGTATGCATTGTCTTCTGTTCTTCCATCTGACAGATGGAAGGCATGTACAAAATACAAACGAACTTCTTGGATAGTGATGAAAAAACAAATCTTGATTTTTGAAATATATTGTCTTGGGATAATTATCTATTGTAATACCTTCCTTCCTTCCTGTATTTTAGACCAAAGAAAAATATGGAAAAGAATGCAAGGTAGGTTTTCCATTTGAAAAAAAAAACTTACATAATTGTAAAGAATGGCACACAAGAAGTAGCTTGTGTTCCGTGAATTGCAGTAATTTTGCTGTTACTTAGGAAATTGTATAAACTTGGCCATCATCTTAAACTAACATTATTTGCTGGAACTTAGAATATTATGTGAATCCTAAGTATAACTTACATACTTATAACTTAATTTGGATGTGTAAATCCAGTTTGTCAGTGTTATTATCAAAACATAAATTAGCTGTTTTTCTTTAAACTTAAGTATCTTGGTTCTAAAGGTCAGCATTTAAATCAGGGGTGTCAAACTCGCAACATGTCGTCGCATGATGTATTGCAACTTTTCCCCCTTCCCTAAAATGGGGGTGGCCGTGGCCAGCGCATGATGCCTCCGGCCCGCGGTCTGTGAGTTTGACATCCCTGATTTCAATCATAAGGATACTTATGAAATGTGGAATGTGTATGTGATAAAAAAAAACCAGAGCAACGTATCCAGAAACTCTCAATCTTTGAATAGTATGATATGTTCTTTTTAGGAAATGTGATACTATCTCTTATTTATTTCAACAAGTAAGACTGAATCTCTCAAAACAGATCTTTCAAACCACAGTATATCCCATTAATAATGGAAAATGTGTGCATGCCTAAATTGAGAGACTGACTTAATATAGAAATTTATTTGGATGTGCAATATGTCAGCCAGCTAAAATCGCATAGAGTATAGGCATGATATAAATATTTTAAATAAAAATGCATTAAAATGGATTTTGGTTAGGATGATGTACATTAATGTAATAATTGTTTCAGATCTGTGCCAGGCCGTTCACAGTTTTTCGTTGGTGCCCTGGTGTTCGTATGCGTTTTAAGAAGACTGAAGTGTGCCAAACATGCAGCAAGCTGAAGAATGTTTGTCAGACTTGCCTTCTTGACTTGGAATATGGTTTGTAGTTATCATTTTACATTAAATCAATGAATACAAAATTAGCACATTATCATTCCAGTGCACTAACAATGAGCTGCTGTTACTGGAGATCAGAATCTGCATACCTGAAGTTCTGCAAGATGAAAAACGATGACATAAATAGCATTAATTTATCAGTTTGGAGAAATGAGTCTGGCATTCCCTTTCTTGAAATGGCAGATATTACTGATAGTACTTAATAGTGAAAATAAAGAAGGGTTTGTCATATAAATTACTAGGTAAAGTCAATCCATATTCCACTGTTTTGAATAAATCAATACTCGAAACTGACTGAAATCAGAAACAGTAGTTTTAATGTTTTTCTCCCTACTTCATCTCACTAATAAATGGTGGAGAGTCCAGAAAAATATGTAATTAATCTTCACATACAGTTCTTTTAATATCCTGGTCTCTCTAGTCTTTTTCTCTTTGAGGTATTGCAATTAGTTTTGAAGTCCTGTAAGAAAATGGTTTAGGTTGAATATTTTTAGGGACATCTGTGTGAGTAGTAATTGTAGATCGGATAAATCAGTTTTGTTTTTCCCCAGTTTGCTCAAGGTTACTTTGTACAGTATTCGTATCTGCTCCAAAGCTTGATCATTTTTTAAATGGTTATTACAACTTAAGGCATTTCTGTCTTAATACCGTAGATATTATATGTGTTTCAGAATGATGTACAGTTGGTCCTCAACTTACAACCACAATTGAGCCCCAAATTTATGTTGCTAAGTGAGAAATTCATTAAATGAGTTTTGCCCCATGTTACAACTTTTCTTGCCACATTCTTTAAGTGAAACACTGCAGTTGTTAAATTAGTAATACGGTTGTTAAGTGAATCTGGCTTCCCCATTGATTTTGCTTGTCAGAAGGTTGCAAAAGGTGATCACATGACCCCAGGACACTGCAACCATCATAAATGTGAGTCCATTGTCAAGCAACCGAATGTAAATCACATGATCACGGGGATGCTGCAACAGTCATAAGTGTGAAAAATGGTCATAAGTAATTTTTTTCAGTACTATTGTAACTTTGATCACTAAGTGAACTGTTGTAAATCGAGGACTACCTGTATTACTGTACCTATATTTAGCATCTTTTTAATCTTTGAACTTGAAGTGCTGCACAGCCCCAATATGATGTTACGTAGCTGAACATGAGTTAAGAGAACTGGAATATAGCCACATGGAATAAAATCTCAATGTCTCAGAGGGGAGAAATAATTTTGTAAAAAACGGATGAAGGAAATTCATGTGATGGCTGTTATCCAAATATAGATATCCCTCATTTAACAATGCTAATTGGGACCAGAAATTCTATTGTTAAGCAGCACGATTAGAAGTTGAAAAACTGTGCTGCTTAGTGACAGCAGTTCCAGCAGTGCAGTGCTGTTGTTAAATGAGGATCATCCTTAAGTGAGGGTCCCATGTGTGCAACTTCCAATTTTCTGCCAAATTCCCGATGCTTAGGAATCGCAATCATGTAACTATAGAGATTCTACAATAGTTGTTAATATAAGGTCCAGTTGTAACTATGCTCATTCTGCATCGTAAGTTTGGTTGCTGAATGTGTGGGCATTAAATGAAGACCTCTTACAATGTTAATAGTGTAGATTTCTACAGGACCTACCTGAGATTTGAGTGCCACGGATATTTGTGATACAGTATAATCAACATTAATGTAAAAAGTATGTTAGATAGGCCATATTGATAATATGGGATAGATACAAATCCAGGTTGTGTCAGAAAACACCTTTGTGGCTCTCAGCACAAGAAACATAGATAAGAAATTAGAGGCAAACACAAATGGCTAAATTATCCAAAATTGTATCCAAAAACAAAATAAAATAAAAGGAAACAGTTGGTGGCAGATGGATCTAGTTGCCAGTGATTCTCTTATTTACATTTATCAGAAGGATTTAAAGTACGTAAAAAAGTTCATGGTATTGAATATTGTAGGACTGATTTTGAAATAGAATTTTGTACTAACGATGAACATGTAATTACCAAAATGTATAAACTTTTATTGAAATTTGAAATAGAAAAAGAATGAGTGTAATATGTAAATGTACAGATTATATAATTATGATTTATGGTGTCTGATTATTAGATAAAATAGATTAGAGAATGAATAGTGTCATGATGAAAGAGGTAATTTATTATTTGGAAAAATTCCTTTTGTTTTCGCTTTGTATCAATTGTGTGTTTTGTTCCTCAATATTAGGTTTACCTATTCAGGTTCGTGATGCTGGACTCTCACTTAAAGATGATATGCCCAAGTCTGATGTTAATAAAGAATATTACACTCAAAATATGGAAAGAGAGGTGAAGAAATGATATTCTTTTTGGTGGAGTAGTAAATTAAATGAGCCCAATATTTGGACAGGAACCACCTTGGTATTACTATATACTGTACGCTCCTCGAACCATGAGAGGGGTGGCATGTAAACTGACTAAAATAAATAACCACCCCTATCTGTCTGCTTTTCTAGATCATGAATTCAGATGGCACTCGACCTGTTGGTGCTCTTGGAAAGGCAACATCTACCAGTGACATGCTGCTAAAATTGGCACGGACCACCCCTTATTACAAGCGCAATCGCCCTCATATTTGTTCATTCTGGGTTAAAGGAGAATGTAAAAGGGGAGAAGAGTGCCCTTACAGGTACAACTTAGTGCAGAAATTTATTAATTTTACAGTTTTAAGTTGCTGACAAGTGGGTGGCAAAATTGGATGAATGGATGGATGGATGGATGGATGGATGGATGGATGGATGAGGAAGGACGAACAGAAATATAGCTGAGCACATTGTAAGCCGCCCTGAGTCTTCGGAGAAGGGCGGCATATAAATCAAATTAAAAAAAAAAAAAAGGAAGGTTTCAAAAGTTCAGGCAGTTACCTGAAAGAAAATAATGCATTTGCATCAACAAATGCAGAAATATCAAAATGGAAACATTGTTTATTGGGTTTCTATTCTATTCATTTAGCAGCTCAAGGGAATATTTCCTTTTAATTTTCATTCACAACAATCTATTGCAAAAGTGACTGTGGACTAAGGGTCTAATAGAATCTGGGTTTCCTTGCTTCTATGGCAACATCATAATCATTCCAGTGGGTTTCATGCTACTCCTGCTGAGACAATAATTGTAATCTTTAGATAATGCTTACTAAGTAATTAACTCTGATGACTGAGAAGCTCTTGAAATTGTAGCAATGGTGATTTTGAAAAATATCCAATAATTGCATATTATAAAATTTCCAATATTTGCATATTATATAATTAATCACCTAGCTTCCTTTTAAGTTCTCTGGATGTTATGTTGCCAAATTAGTGCCACGGTTTAGAAGGCTCTGAATCAAATGAATTTAACAATCTTTAACCACATATCGTACAATATTGGTTCTGACCCTTTAGACATGAAAAGCCTACAGATCCGGATGATCCTCTTGCAGATCAGAACATTAAAGATCGCTACTATGGTATAAATGATCCTGTGGCTGACAAGCTTCTCAAGCGAGCTTCTACAATGCCTCGACTAGACCCCCCTGATGACAAGACCATTACAACCCTGTACGTCGGTGGTCTAGGCGATACTATCACTGAGTCTGATCTTAGGTATGTCTCTATTGTTTGCTCCATTTCTTGTCAGCGTTATAACTGTTTTTTTGAGATTGTCAATCATAAGTGATTCTTCCAGATTTGGTCAAAAATGTATGGAAAGCAATAGATATCAGCATCCATAATTTGCTTCTCAAGGCTTCATTTTTAGCTTTCATGTGCATTTGACGTCTATTATTTTTTTATGGCGTTCTCATGCTTGAACTGAGGGAAGAAACACTATATCCCATCCTTGACTTTTTCCATGTAATAAACTGGCCCATCTTCGAATCATCCTAGAACGTTGTTTTTTGAGAAGATGCTTATCATGTTTATGTGTCTTGTTGCTCCGAAATAATACAAACCAACAGTGGCAATGAGAAGGGATGCCAAATGAAGGCTTTAAGTAAGATAAAGGTTAAAGTTTTATCAGCATCGTACTATTCTGTTTACTAATGATTCTTTGGCAATATTAGCAAATTATAAAGTATTCTTGAGTCATCAGAGTGAAATATTATTAATATTTAATTTTATTAATCTGTTACTTTATGTTTTATATATATAGTAACAAATTATTTTAGATTGATTTTTTTTTTAGCATTTTAAATAGCATTTTATATATATATATAACTAATTGTTGAACTATTTAGAGGCAGACTTTTTTTACTGGCTATAAAAATCAATTCAGTTTTGTGTGACATAGGTGTGTGTGTGAGAGACCCTGTATTACAGTATCAGAATGTTTCCTCTTCAGGAATCACTTCTATCAGTTTGGTGAGATCCGGACAATAACAGTGGTCCAGAGGCAGCAGTGTGCATTTATCCAATTTGCTACTCGACAAGCTGCAGAAGTAGCAGCAGAAAAATCCTTCAACAAACTCATTGTGAATGGCCGCAGGCTTAATGTGAAGTGGGGCAGGTGAGTAAGTGGTCAGGAAAAAAGAGTGAAAGCAATACACATTTTTCTTCCACTCTTTCATCCAGTACAGTTGTTAACTTTGAAGTTAATTACTTATAATTTACCAATTGATGATAATTATAGCATCTTTTCTTGGATTTCAGGTCTCAAGCAGCCAGGGGGAAAGAGAAGGAACGAGAAGGGACTACAGAATCTGGTCTAAAACTGGAACCAGTTCCTGGTCTACCTGGAGGTAAGGCAGTTCTCTTCTGCCAAAGCTGTTATGACAGCCTTAGCAAAGGGAAAATACAGAGATATTTGGTTTTCTTGATCTAACCTTGGAAAGCAGTTATGTCCCCAAAAGGGAATGAAACAAGTAGAACGTCTTGAGTTTTGTTTGATTGGCAATTGAATAAAGAATTAGAACAAGTCTGTGAATGAAGGCCTGGATTGTTATTTGAAGCCTATTAATTTAGTTCTTGGAAGGATAAAGAGCTAGGGTCATATTCAAGTGCTTTTGATACCTCAATATTTTTATTTATTTTAGTGCTACTGAAATCTTTCAAGAGATATAGGTTGTTTATTCCACATAGGGTTTTCCATAACAACAGGTCTGTGAAGTAATCTGGGATGAGAGAGTGACTGTACGGCTACAGCACACTGCCTCTCCCATCTCCCAACCCATGTTGAATCCCTAGTAAATAATGAAGATGTTGTGAGATTCTTGATTCCCCCCTGAGCTTCGTTGTTTGTTAGCAGATATTTGCTTACACAACAAAATAGCATCATTGCTGTGAGTGAGGTTTGCTGGCAGGGCAAACTACCTATAAACAGATAGGAAACCCCACATTAGTCACATTGATGATGCTACATAGTAGCAATAGCAATAGCACTTAGACTTATATACTGCTTCACAGTGCTTTACAGCCCTCTCTAAGCGGTTTACAGAGTCAGTATATTGCCCCCAACAATCTGGGTCTTCATTTTACCGACCTCGGAAGGATGGAAGGCTGAGTCAACCTTGAGCCTGGTGAGATTCAAACTGCTAAATTGCAGTCAGACAGCAGTCAACAGAAGTAGCCTGCAGTACTGCATTCTAACCATTCCGCCACCGCGGCTCTTAGGGTAGTAGGGTATTGAAACATCTGCAAACAGCCAAGGCTCAGAGACTAGCAATAATTCCACAGTTCAACCCTGAGCTACAGCTATTCTCTTCTAGTGGAATGAAGACACTGTTGTGAAAACAGGTTAAAGTGATGCTTTCTTGATCTAATCTGTTCAGACAGGTGGGTACTATGGTCATTGGAAAGTTTTACAACTAACTGAAATGTTATGCCCTGCAGCTCTTCCACCTCCTCCTGCAGCAGAAGAGGAAGCAGCTTCTGCAAACTATTTCAATCTATCTCCCAGTGGCCCTCCAGCTGTTGTAAACATTGCCCTTCCGCCACCACCTGGCATCGCGCCGCCGCCGCCACCAGGTAATTATTAATTCTGATCCTGGAGAAGCAGATGCTTGATTACTGTTCTTTAAACGAATAGAATAGTATATTCTGTTGTCTGAACTTCTTCAGAAATTGCTGAAGAGTGTGGGACAGTATTATCGTTTAAAAACTCTTTGTTATTTCAGCAAGTTTTTACTTTCTTCATTTCCAGAAGAAAACAACTTTGCAAAACAAACCTCAGGGTATAAGGAAATAAGGCATCTAAATTATATATTTTCCTAGACCAGTGGTTCTCAACCTTCCTAACACCGTGACCCTTTAATACAGTTCCTCATGTTGTGGTGACCCCCAACCATAAAATTATTCCTAAAACCATTGAAAATATGTGTTTGGTCATGACCCACAGGTTGAGAACCACTGTCCTAGACGGTTTTCAGACTACTATATAAATCTATACAGATAGTCCTTTTAATTTAATTTAATTTAATTAATTCAATTTATATGCCTCCCCTCTCCAAAGACTCAGGGCAAAGACTCATTTAGGGACTGTTCAAACTTAAAACAGCACTGAAAAAAGTGATTTGTGACTATTTTTCACAGTTATGAAGTTGCAGCATCCCCATGGTCACATGATCAAAATTCAGATGCTTGGCAACTGATGCATATTTATGATGGTTGCAACATCCGGGGTCGTGTCATCACCTTTTGCGACCTTCTGACAAGCAAAGTCAGTGGGGAAGCTGGATTCACTTAACAAACAAGTTGCTAACTTAAAAACTGCAGTGCTTCACTTAACTATGGCAAGAAAGGTCATGAAATGGGGCAAAATTCACTTAACAAATGTCGTGCTTAACAACAGATATTTGGGGTTCAATTGTGGTTGTAAGTCGAGGAGTACCGGTATATAATTGCCACCATAATTCTTTTTAAAAAAATACATTTGTGATGCTTTTGTTTTGAAATGAATTTTGTTTTGAATTTGTGAATTATAAACCATGCAAAACTCATCAGGTAATGTACGCTTGAAATAATGATAAAACTATAAGTAAAAATGCAGCTAATTAATGATAGCTGGTAAATAAAAAATATTAAGGCTCAGAATCCAATCATTCCAGTACATTCCAGATGAGCTGTTAAGTCTTGCCTTTATTTGTAAAAATCTTGCTTTTACATGGGAAATGAATCGTCCATAGATAATCTTTTTTTTTTTTTTTTATCCTGCAGGTTTTGGGCCACACATGTTTCATGCAATGGGACCTCCACCTCCTTTCATGAGGGCTCCAGGCCCCATACATTATCCTTCTCAAGATCCACAAAGAATGGGTGCACATGCAGGAAAACACAACAACCCCTAACCCCGCTGACTCCTTTCTTATTTTTCTTTTGACAAGACATTTAAATTTGTAGCATATCACATGCAGTTACAATAAATCTCCCTTTTTTCTGTGCACCCAGCACAGATTTAATCTTATTATTGTGTTTCACAGCAACAAAAACAGATCCTTTGTATAATAACCAGAATTCTTAACCGGGGGGAGAAAAGGGTGTTTAAAAAAAGAAAAAAAAGAAGCATAGCTATGATTTTTTTTTAAAAAAAAACAATTTTGCTAGAGTTACAAACACCGTACATGTATTCCATTTTGCACACCCCTGATAAGTCTTTTTGGCTTATTGTTACTTTTAAGTCTGCTGATTGCCAGTCAGTCAACAGTGGAACTGACCCAAACCTGCTCAGGTCTTGGACACACCTTCACAGCTCAGTTACTCTATCACTGTTGAAATTAGATTCGGATTCCTCCTTGCCCTGAGCTGGACTGGCATAACGTAGAAGGTCCCAGCAGACTCCCATCAAGATCATGCAGATGGTGTGCCACTTTGTATCAAAGCTGTTTCTGTCATTCATGATCTTTGGCTGTAATACATGTTATCGAAATGTTGAGACAGCAGTTCTGCATGCTTGCTAATCCTCTGTTACAGAGGGAGCGACCTGGAGTAAAAGTTCCATGGCCTTCATTTGTTACTATAACTTGTCTGGTTTATTCCTGATTCAAATGTTTGATTACTGATGGTGGTTTTAGATTTGTTTCATTATTTACTTTGTACCATCTTTCTTTGCCCTTGGTCTGTAATGTGTCTTAGTAAAGAAAATCATATTTTTTACCTATTCTCAAGGTTCATTATTTTTTTTTAAAAAAAAACTATTCCTGATTGGTTTTCTCAGTGATGTTTGGACCTAGTCTTTAGCTTATTTATTTGTTAAATTAACTTGCTGCCTATCCTGCCATGAGGCTACTCTACCTGGCTTACAATAATAAAAAGGAAGAAAACGAAAGGAGTGTAAACAGAAGTAAAACAATAAAATAAACAAGGAACACAACAAGAATCATCATCATCATCATCTTAGGTGCTGCCTTCCACTGTAGGATGAAGACCTCTTCTGCATGTTTCCAACCAATACGGTCCTGAGCTTTCTTTTGTTAATTGGGCCCTCAATAATTGCTGATGTCGATCCATGATAATCAAAACAATCCATGATAATCAAAACAACATCCAAAATGGATGGATGGAAAGCAGACAGCAAGGGGAGGGGAGGTGCCATCAATCCAGCACCACCTCCACTGTGGAAGGGCCCCATTAGGTTCCCAGACCAACTGGCAGAGCCAGTTCTTCAGGCTCTTGCAGAAGGATTGGGGGCGGGGGGGGAATCTTACTTTAAAAAGAAAGATGTTCCAAAGGCAGATGCTATATTTATTTATTTATTTGTCATATTTCTATGCCGCCCACTCTCCGAGGACTCTGGGCAGCTTACACCAAAGATAGTATACTAAATAGTATATTGCCCCCTAACAATCTGGGTCCTCATTTTACCCACCTCGGAAGGATGGAAGGCTGAGTCAACCTTGAGCTGGTGAGATTTGATCCGCTGATCTGCTGAATTAGCAGTCAGCTGAAGTAGCTGCAGTACTGCACTCTAACCACTGCGCCACCTTGTAGAGAAGGCTGTTCTGGATCTCGAGAATCAGTTCTTTGGCCAACAGGATCTGAATAGTCCCTCTGCTGACATGAGTAGGATTGGCTTGTCCTAGTGGGACAAGGCAGTTCATCAGATAGCCTGGACCTTTGCCATTAAGGGCTTTAAAGTCCATAACTTAACCTTGAACTGTATTCGGAAACTGATTGATAGCCAGTGAAATTTGCAGAGCTGAGATGCAATATGGGCCGTCCTTAGGGACACCAAGACTGCTTCCGCTTCCCCGCTTTGCATCAACTGAAGCTTCCAAATGGACTTCAAGGATAGCCCCTTACAGAGTGCATTGCAGTAGACCAGGTGACAAATGTCCACAGTTGCATAATTGCAGCTGTCCAAAATGAATATATATTCTTCAACGCTTGCCTCATAATCCAGACTGGTGGAAAGAGAGTAATAAACCTATCCTACCACGCATTTTGACTTTTAGGCCTGTTGACATAGCTGAAACTCAAATTGTAGCGTTATAATATTCATGTTCTTACTCTGGCAATTTCAGTTTCCAGACTTTATAAAGGAGGCTGAACATCGACAATTCAGAGAAAGGAGTTGCAAAGATAAGAAAAAACAGTTGTAATAGATGTGATATTTTTTTATTTTCTAGCAACTCTTAAAACAATCTAGCTTCGATCTCTCTCTCAAAAAAAATCTGGGCGTTTAATTAGACATAAATTAGACATAAACATAAATCCACATTTGACCTATCATTTTTTTCAAAACAACAACAACATGAAATTCAGTTAATTTCAACCTGCTTTATTTTATTTTAAGTTTAATTTCAATTTAGATGGCTACCCATCTAATGAAATGGATCTGAGTGGCAATCAGCAGATCACAAAAAAGAAAAATAACACCTCAATAAATCTGTAAATGGTAGCAAGGTTTGCCATCATTAAAACCATTCTACAGGCTCCGTCATATATTCCATCCCTGGAATAACCAGGACATGAAAGCTGTATGAAAGGCCACCAGCGTTGGGGCAAATCTAATCTCAAGTCACCTTGAGAGAAAAGCTCTTTTCCTGGGTCTTGCCAGATGGCACTCTAATAGGGGCCTGCAGCTTGCCTCTAGATCTGAGAGGGCAGGTAAACACAACCAGAGAGAGGCTTTATATGTCCTGCATACTTTTATACCACTATATCTTCTCATATTCATAGATATATGTTTATTTTAAAAATGTTTTGGGTTTTTTTCTCTTTAGATGTAATAATCACTTCCACTCCTTGTTTCAGTGCTTTAAGCAACCATCCTACTATGAACTACATGGTTTGTTACAGTTTGTAGTCAAAATGGCACCAGGCGGGAGCATTTAACAATAAGCAATAAGCCAAAGCTGCTATTTTTACTTTCATGATGTGAGAAGATTTGTCTATTTTACACTAAAAATTTTCTCTTCTGGCAATTATTTGTTAATAACTGGGTGTCAAGCAGGCATTGATTTTGGGATAAGAGATACAATTTATGAAGCAGTCTCTACAGATCCTCTGATTCAGGCATAACCTGTATCCATCCTTGAGGTGTTCTGTTGAAGCTGGGTCTCTCTGAAAGTAGCACCACATCATTCATGGCATCTGCAGGAAGCACAATTCCACCAAACCCAGGGAACGCATCAATCAGTAATGGCCCACCAAATGGTGTAGGGGTCCTATAAGGAGGATGAGAAATTCAAACCCGTTGGCAAGCAAAGCATTCTGAAAACGTAATTGTGGAAAATATTTGCTGCTGATACCACACAATCTGCAAGTGTCGAATGCAGCTAGCCATTAGCAAATTAAGCCACAATTAAAATGTTCCTCATGTTTTGCTAGTCAATACTTAAAATGTTCTGGACAAGCAAGTTTCATTGCACTGTGTTTGTATTAGGGCTGCAAAACTGATCACGGACACGTTTCATTTGCAATAATTTCTAATGCCAGATTTGTTCTGTGAGCTTTTTTTTTTTTAATGATCTTTATTAGTTATTTACAAATAAAAAACATATACTATAATTATCAAATCAATATAAGTTATATATGTATAGACAACACAACACATAAAGACAACTACAAGGAAGGACTAACCGGGAATCGTAACGATCCCCCAGATATCTATTCATAGTTACATCCTGGTAAATCTTTTTGTTCAGATAACATTGACTGTTTTAAATATCAAATGCTATCTAATTATAAACAAATATATATTTAATACTATATTATTTACTCTATATTTGTCCTTTTCCTTAGCCATATATACCAGCGTTCCCAGTTACTGTAGTATATGGATTCTTTTTTCTCTCTTAGGATATATGTTAGTTTGTCCAATTTGGCACAATTCAATATCTTATTTATTATAAATTGATCTGATGGTGTATTTGCATTTTTCCATTGCTCGGCAAGTGCCATCCTTGCTGCTGTTGTAATATGGATGAATAAGTGCCAATCTTGTTTGCCCACGTCTTTTAGTTTAATTTCAAGTAAGTAAGAATCTGGAATTAGAGGGAAGCTTGCACCTGTTATCTCGTTCAACCATTTTTGAATCTTTTCCCAAAACTTCCTAATCTGAGGGCAGGTCCACCACTGGTGGAAAAAAGTACCCCTGGCTGAATTACACTTCTAACATTTGTCCAGGGAACATTTTAGCTATCCTAGCTATCTATAAATCATTTTGTCAAAGTTCTCTTTAAATGCCGCTGATAATGTCAATTTCATTGATCTATTCCATATTCCCTGCCATTCCTCAAATTGCATCAGTCTTCCTAAGTTTTTCCCCCAGGCAATTATCGTATCTTTCACTATCTCTTTGGCTAAATATCTTGATAGTAAAAGATATGAATTTTATTTCAAAATCCAGAAGTAGTCTATCCAACGGTTGTGTTGTTTGGTAAATACCATATTCTTGTTTGTCTTTACAGAATCTAGCTTGAATTTGAGCGTATGACCACCAGTCTATGTCTATTCCTTTTAATTGAAGTTCCTTTCTTGATATTAAATTCCCTCCTCCATCCATCAGGATATTATAGGTCCAATTTCTTTTTATATTATAAAGAGTCAGGTAGGTTGCCATCTCCAATGGGACAACCTATTTAGGAACTTGGGTATAAGTTTGTTTCTTCACCTTTTCCCATACTTTTATTAAAATTCTTCTAATATAATGATTATTAAAATATTTAGATTGTTTCCCTTGTGCCCACAAAGCTGAGTGCCAGCCTTGGTGAAGATCAAATCCTTCAACCGTTAATATGCGGTTTCTTGAAAGGGATACCCAGTCACTTATCCAAAGAAGGGACGAGGCTTGGTAATATAACTCCCAATTTGGGAGCCCCAAGCCCCCCCTCATTTTGTGCTCCTGTAGCATTTTTCTTTTAATTCGTGGTTTTTTCCCTTGTCAAATAAATTTGCTTATTATCTGATCCAATTTCCTAAAAAATTTTTTATCCAAATTTACAGGAGCTGTTTGGAATAGAAAAATCTACCGTGGGCTTTAATTGCGGCAACCCTGCCCAAAAGTGAAAGCTGTATATTCTTCCATCTATCTAGGTCCTCTACTGTATCAACCAATAGTTTAGAGTAATTAGTCTCTTTAATATTAGAGCATTTGTTTGTCAGCCAAATCCCTAGATATTTTACCTTCTTAGTAAATTTAAGTCCCGTGACTTCCTGCACCTTATTTTTTTGATCCTCTGTTAAGTTTTTGGATATCATTTTAGTTTTATCTTTGTTAATTTTTAATCCTGCTATTTCTCCATATTCTTCAATTCTCCTTAGCAATATCGGACCTGAGATTAGGGGGTCTTCCAAAATAAATACAAGATCATCAGCAAAAGCTTGAAGCTTGTATTCTTCTCTCCTAATCCTCAGGCCTCTAATATCCTTGTCTTGCCTGATTATGTTGAGAAGTGGTTCCAAAGTTAAAACGAATAATAATGGTGAGAGAGGGCAACCCTGTCTAGTACCTTTGGATATTTTAATCTCATCAGAGATTGTACCATTGAGTAGCAACCTGGCCAACTGTTTAGTATATATAGCCTGAATTGCATTTATAAATTTAGAGCCAACTTCCATAAATTTTAATTGCTGTATAATGAAATTCCAACTGACCCTATCGAAGGCTTTTTGGGCGTCTACGAATACCGTTGCCATACCTTTGTCTGAATACCTTTCATAGTACTCCATTACATTTAAAATTACTCTTACATTATCTCAAAGTTGTCTATGCGGTAGAAAGCCATTTTGATCCTGGTGGATGAAGTGGGAAAGAAATATTTTAAGTCTTTCTGCTAGGACTGTCGTAAAGATCTTGTAATTGACATTTAAGAGCGAGATTGGCCTGTAGTTCTGAATTAGTGATCAGTCCGAGTCAGGCTTTGGAATCAACAAAATATAAGCTTCCCTCCAAGATTGGGGTATCTTGGCATCTGTTAAGGCCTCGTTAAATACATCCTTTAGTTGCGAACTCAGCAGGTCAATCATACCTTTTTTATAATTCACTTGGGAGCCCATCAGGCCCAGGGGTCTTTTCCCCCGCTTGCTTCTTAATAGCTCTTATACCATGGTAATCTCTTTATTTAAAATGTGGTTAAAAGAGTCAGGGATCGGTTCCAATTGAAGTCTCTGGAGATATTCCCCAAGTTTATTTTCTTGATATCTTTCTTCTCCATATAAGAAGCAGTAAAATTCCTGGGCTATTTTTACTTTTTGATCCCTATTAACTGCCAAATTTCTGTTTTTATCCTGTAAGTATTCTATTTTTCTTGCTTCTGCCTCTTTCTTTAATCTATAACTTAACCATTTCTCAGCTTTATTCGCATGCTCAAACTGTCTTTGTCTGCTTTTCCTAATTTTGTCTGCCAACTCCTTTTGGTCTATTAATGAAATCTCGTGCCTAATTAAATCTATTTTCTCTTTGGATTTAAGATTTCGTGGCTCTAATCGCAACATCCCTTCCATTTTTTCTAACTCTGATAGGAGCTCTGCTCTTTTTGATCTTTCTTCTTTCCACTTGCAGGCTAAGTATTTTATTGCCAATCCTCGCACTACGGCCTTAGCAGTGTCCCAAGTATTTTGTAAAGAAGTGTCCTCTCTTTTATTTTCCATAAAAAAGAATTGTAATTCTGTTTTTATCATGTTAGCAAAGTCCTCGTCCTTCATTAATTCAGCTCTCATGGACCATCTCGCTCTTTTTTTTTTTTACCTCTGCCCATTTGATTATTATAGGATGGTGGTCCACCCATACCTTCGTACCTATCTCCAATTCTTTAATCATTTCTTTAATCTCTGATGTTGACCAAAACATGTCAATACTTAAAATATTCTGGACAAGCAAGTTTCATTGTGCTGTGTTTGTATTAGGGCTGCAAAACTGATCACGGACATGTTTCGTTTGCAATAATTTCTAATGCCAGATTTGTTCTGTGAGCTTCTTAATCAGCTTTGCAGATAAGCCAGTGAACTGCTTGGTGGGAAGTGCAAACACATTTCTTTTGAACCATTTGTGTATACTGTTTTATAGCCATTGTGTTTTCTGCAACATACACTGGTGTGTGGGTGTGGGTTTATGCACGTATGCTTGTACATGATCACAAAACAAATGACGCATTGTTTTCGAACAATAGTCAACCCAGAATAGTGAGTCTATTGTCAAAATCTTATTTTGACCTCATCCAGAGAAACAGTTATTTAATTCTGTAGTGAAATAACACAGTGTAGATTATACGGATGAACAATGGAATATTTTCAATTCTGCGTAAATACTATTTCAGGCATCTTTTGCTTCCTGATGTCATTTTTGCTACTTGGGAGGAATCTGAGAGCTCACAAATTGGTTATCCTAAACTGCAGAAAATCATGGATTATGTAGGTTGCCAACTTCTCAAATTGGTGAAATTGGGCAGAATTTGCTCCAACAAATGAAACAGTTGCTGTAAAATTTCTAAGAAATATAAAGGCTGACGCCATTTAAGCCATTTCTGTTTTGTATTACCAAATGCCTACAAATGGAAGCTTACAACTTTTGGCATCTTCTCACTCTTTGGAGATTGAGCTTATTTTTTTCTTTCTGTGAAATCTGTGAATTGGTTTTGTTTTTACATTTTGTATAGGTGGGTGGATGTATCTGAGTGCAGAGAGAGAACATAATGGAGCAGACCTTGGCATTTTACAACTCTTGAGTCATATATCCGGCCTTTCGGCTGTCCCTGTCTGGCCTGTGGTATTAAAGGAGGCAACCTTAGTGAGAGAGGGTAGGAATGTCCTCAGGGCAGGTGGGCTACAGTGGCAGCAGCCCTCCACAACAATCCCATTTCTCATGTGATCCCTTGAGAAAATGAATTGCCCACCCTGTGGTATAGATAAAGAAGACCATGGCATCAAGTAATCTCCATTTTTTTAAATTATGGTTGCATGCATTTTGGGGTGTTCTGCTCCAATTCTGGTTTAGAATGTGTCAGGAAGCCAGGATGATTCCTTCTTAGAAACCATAGCATAATAGCCCAGATGGAGTTTCCAAAATATGGGTTATTTACAATATATCTGGGTAATGTTGCATTAATGTGAGGAAGGATTAATTAAGATAGCACAATAGTTTCATGCATATTCCAGGGTAATCAAAATTTCACCATTGGTGTTAAGTGTGGTCTTCTAGAGTACCAAACTTCCTATCAGTCCAGGTCATTAATGTTCCTGGAAACTCCTCTTCCTGCAAGGCTCACTGGTCATAAAGTCCTCTCAATGATTCAGAGTGTTAAATTCTCTGGCTTCTGTGCTGAGCAGACTCTCAGAAAAACAAGGAATCTGCTCTTGTAAAAGCCAGCAATCATAAAAAGTTAAGATGTTGATGAGCTATACCCATAATCAGCCTTAATCAGTGTGGTCCATAGTGAAGGATACAAGTGAGCAGCTTCTGGAAGGATATATATTTTCTAGCATGCTTTAAAGAGCTAATATTTGAAAATATGCATATCAAGTCTTATTGGAAAGGAGTAAACAACCTGATTACCATCTATAGAGTTTATGCAAAAAATATATATATATATATCCAAAAGAAACAGAGCAAGCCTTTTTACCTGTTGAAATTCCTAAGGTCCAAATTATTCACTTTTCTGGGCTCAGACAAATGGTTTTCCACATCTACCTGGTAATCAGCATTGCAGAAGAATTCCCGCCAGGGAGACCGATAACCTTTGGGGATTGCAGTTCGGTTAAATTTCTCTGGTGGAACTTCTTTTAGTGGTCCAGAATAACCTGCAATAGAGATTGTCCAATAAAACAACTGTTTTAAGTAATGTGATGCCAAAATTTCAATGATGGGTTTCAAATTGCTTAAGCTAGCACAAGTGATAGAGAAAAAATAAGTTTCGTTGGTTCCAAGTTGCGTGAAATCTTCATCAGCAACATGTTCTGCTTCTAGAGTGCCTCTTCAGTTTCATGCTCCATTAACCTTGTTATCAGGGACAGTTGTTACAATTTGCAGGTTCTAGAGTACTTTGACACTGCACTATGTATTTATCCATCCATCCATCCAACCTCAACTGCTACCAAGTAGTTAATGGCTGTCATTCCTGTTGCACTTCTGCCAGTGGTGAAATCCAATTTTTTTTACTACCGGTTCTGTGGGTGTGGCTTGGTGGGCATGGCTTGGTGGGCATGGCAGCGGGAGGATACTGCAAAATCCCCATTCCCTCCCCACTCCTGGGGGAAGAATATTGCAAAATCTCCATTCCCACCCCACTCTGGGGCCAGCCAGAGGCGGTATTTGCCGGTTCTCCGAACCACTCAAAATTTCTGCTACCAGTTCTCCAGAACCTGTCAGAACCTGCTGGATTTCACCCCTGACATCTGCCCTTCATTCATTGTCTCAAGTGTATGAGTGTATCAGAAGGAGAATCAGCCTTGGCTTCTTTACAATTAAAGATAAAGCTTCATTTTTTTTTTTTAAAAAGTGACTCATCCATCCATTTCCGAATCAGTCACGATTTGCCATCTATGGATAGACGATCTTCTGTTCCATTTTGGTTTTAAAAACACTCCCACCTTATACTAGAGATGAATCAGAACAGGACTATGAGGATGATGAGGAGTGTACTTCAGTATTGTTGAGAGAAAATGTTGGAAATGTAGTATCCCTTTGTCATGCAAATAAATTCTATGATGGGACAATAATCAAGGAGTTGTTTGAGAACAGATGATAAGAAAAAATTGGGGACAATTTAGGAGTGTTTACAGTAGCCCTTATTGGGAGAAGGTGTGTGTATAAAATAAAATAAATAAAATAAAAAGGACATCATTGGATCTCTCTCCATCAAAATCAATCTGCCTTCCTACTTATTCAGCAGCAACAAGAACTTCAACAGATGAAAGTGTCAAGGAAATGGACAACTGTCTGATCTGTCTGGATGTTTTTGAGCACAGGTGACTGTCTATATTCCTCATCAAATCATCTACTGTTAAGAGAAGAATGGTGTTCCATCAGTTGTCTTTCTAGGCTGATCAGTAAGTCCCTGTCTGCTGCTAATAAACAGTAGCTCATAGTGTAAATAACACTGACCTCCCCATCATGGAACTAGGAAAATATGACCAATAAGGCAGGGGTGAAATCCAGGAGGTTCTGACAGGTTCTGGAGAACCAGTAGCAGAAATTTTGAGTAGTTCGGAGAACCAGCAAATACCACCTCTGGCTGGCCTCAGAGTGGGATGGGAATGGCGATTTTGCAATATCTTTCTCCTGGAGTGGGGTGGAAATGGAGATTTTGCAGTATCCTTCCCCTGCCACGCCCACCAAGCCACACCCACCAAAACAACACCATGCCCACCAAGCCACACCCACAGAACCGTAGTAAAAAAAAATTGGATTTCACCACTGCAATAAGGTAAAGATGATATACTTCAAGTGAGCCCTGTTATGATCATGTGGATATTTATGCCCCCTCCTCCACCATCGCTACTCACAATTTATCCTTTTACTTTTGAGTTTATGATGGACCAGTGTAGCATTTTCCAACTTGGTTCCCTACAGAAATGATCAACTTCTAAGTATTCTAAGCAGGGGTGGGTTCTACTTACCTTTACTACCAGTTTGCAATGGGATCGCGCGCGCACATGCGCAGATTGCCAATGATGACATCCGGGGCAGTGGGCGGGGCCTCCCGCCAGTTTTATTACCAGTTCTCGCGAACCGGTCTGAACTGGGGGCAACCCACCACTGATTCTAAGTCAGCCAATGCAATATGTGGGAATTGCCACAGGCTAGAAGGCCTATGAGTCAAGTCCAGCAAGCCTTTCTTTCTTGATGTTAGGGACAGCTTGGAGTAGTGAAGAGCTTCTTACCTGGAGCAATTGCACTGGGATTCAGGGCTTTGCTCATCCGCATGACTTTGTCTGTTTTTTGCGGTACTTGGGGAGGTGCTCTCTTTCCGGAAGCCTCCATGTGATTTATGTCACTCTGATAGTTCTCTTTGCCCTTTGTGGAGTAAGCAGACTGGCAGACAAAGGAGAACATGCATAAGAGGTAAGTATTTTCTATTAGACAAAATACCCAATTAGGACGAGATTGTCTAGAAGGAATGGAAAAATGTAGGCGAGAGAAAAGAATTTTTTTCAGGCAATGTGATGAGTAACTGCTTTTAAACCATTCTCCCCCGGGTGGAAAGAAAAATTCATCCATTGCCATTATACACAAACATTTCCTTCCAAAATATCTCCAGTTAATCTTCAGTTTATTATTCTCTTCCCACTGTCCAGATTTGCTTTGAATTGCAAAAATAAAAAAATAAAAATCACAAGACTAACTCCACATACTTCCTGCTACTGAAACAATATTGTTAAAGGCTGAAGATATATTTATATATTGCAGCCGTATGCGATCATGGTTTCTAGAGCGATTACTTACACATTACCAAAACAGAAAAAAAGTATGATCAAAAAGACACCAATTTGCATAACATGTACATATGCTCAAGTGTATAGACAGATGCAAATGTAGACATAATTACTGTAATTTAAACATTTCATATATCTCACCATACAGGAGCATATGACTTGAATGCCTTGTGAGAATGCTGTCCATGTGCTTACAAATTTTTGAACTAACATAGATTACTAACAATGGGGAGGATGCCAAAAAATAGAGGACTGCCTATTGATAGCATTTGCAATAAAGGAGATTCATCTATGAAGGAGGTCAAGGAACACCATAATAGCTTCCTTCAAAGAGTCTTTTGGTGCATTATAGCCTGGTAAATGTTCAACCTTACAAGAGTGGACAATCTGAAGCCCCTTTTTGGTGTTTCTTCAAGCCCCTTCTGACTACAGTTGGTGAAATCAAAGGGTCCTGCCATTTTGTGACAACTGTCACAAAAGCACTAAAATATATCAATTTTTAAAAGGAGGAAATTGCCAAAACTCCTTACTAAACCTATCAGTAGTGAGACAATTCATGTGACACCATGCTTCTTGCAGCCACCATCCACACCCCCAGTGATCAGTGTAGCCTCAGAAGGCTCTGCCACCACAGTTGCCAGGATTCCATGAGAAAAAGAAAATGCAGGAAATATACAAGTATAGCCTAGGATGTTTGACTCTGTTAGAAGAAAGCTGCAAACTAATTTCAAACAGTTGTTGAGTTTAGCAGAATTTTCATCCGGGGAGTACTAAATTCAGCACTTTATATTTATTTTTATAAAGGCAACTAAAAGAAAGGATATTCGGAAAAGGGATGATGGGATTATAGTCAATTAGTTCCTTTTGCTAATGAAATTTGCTCCAGAGAGAGCAAATTTCAGAACAAATCTGGAGTAAGGCTGGAATTTGCTATGTATGCAAATATACTCTGGTGTGAAATTGGATTTTGCTTCAGGTATGTTCTAATGCAGGGCTGTCAAACTCACGGCCCACGGGCCAGATGTGTCATAAGCTGGCCACACCCATGCCCGGTTTAGCGAAGGGGGAAAAAGTCACAATACGTCATGTGACGATGCTGTGACGACACGAGTTTGACACCCCTGTTCTAATGGATAAGTTTACACATGATTACCTCATTTCCATTCATACCTAAATATTAATTTGGAAAGATCATTCAAACTCATTTGTTTAAACCAAAAATGGCACCCATGCAAAAAGAGTACTGCCACAGAGGGAAACTCTAAGCCACTAAACTCCAGGCCAACCATATGACACACTCCCAGGTTCTGGTCAAGTAACTAAGCATACCCTCCATCCTTTGGTTGTTTCCATTCCATTGTATTCTGGGTGTGAGCCTCCACCTGCCATGTTGGAGGCCTAGAAAGAGAGAGCAAAGGATAGCATATTTGGACAGGTAGAACCAGAGAGAAGACTTGAAACCAGAAAGCATACATCGGTTTGCTAATAATCTGAATAAAAGCTTGTGAATTAAATATATTGAAACTTGCAAACTAATAGAATGTATAAGGCAGACATCTAAGTGATCCACAGTGGTCTATGGACATTCCCATAACATTAAGCTAATATAATTGTTTAGAATCCATATGGGAGATGGAATAATTTCTTCCATGCATTGTATTTATGTGCAGATGGATAGATGGATAGAGAATTAATCAGTAGCTAGTAATTTAAGCTTAATTATAGTTCTTCATGCCAGAAGAGTTTCTCAAGGAGTTTCTACTCTAATCTAATTGGATTTGCTCTAACCTAATAGTCTATTCTATCAAGTAATTAAACTTAACCCGGAGACTTATGCTTCAAGCCGAGCAATTACTATGGTTTGCATTGATCTGCCTCCTACAAATCTACCCCAGCTGCTTCAAGATGGGAAAGATCCAGGCTCTTATGCTTAGAAACTTAACAATTATGATTAAATTACACCATCTGAAGTGAAAATAAATGTTGATTTGATCAGCTTTAAGCGGGGTACCTGCCTTGCCACTTCCTGTTTTTGTCCCCAACTGACATCCCGATAAGAATTTTTTCCTAGCACGCTAATATGACTTACAATTTTGTAGCCTGTAGGATTCTCCAGCACAAAACGCTGCACTCTCTTCTGCCTTTGTTGATACAGCCTCGACCCCCTGTTTATGGACAGGGACAACTCCTCCATCATCAAGTCTTGAGGAGTGCTAACCTTCTTTCCCAAGTCTAATTCTGGAGCTGAAGACACAAAGAAATATATATATACATATACATATATATTCAGATTAAGAAATACCGGTGTGTTTGTTTCACCCTTTGCTACTCTTTGCACATTTAACCAAAAAGACTGCAGTCAAGAATGCTTACTAAGTTAAAGTGTGTATAGGAATTAGACCAGGGGTAAAATCCAGCAGGTTCTGGAGAACCAGTAGCGGAAATTTTGAGTAGTTCAGAGAACTGGCAAATACCACCTCTGGCTGGCCCCAGAGTGGGGTGAGAATGGAGATTTTACAATATCCTTTCTACAGGAATGGGGATTTTACAGTACCCTTCCCCTGCCATGCCCACCAAGCCATGCCCACTAAGCCACACCACTCCCACCAAGCCACGCCCACAGAACTGATAGTAAAAAAAAATTGGATTTCACCACTGAATTAGACCTAGTGTAATTAGAGAAGGAAGTTGTTGCAACAAATAACTTTCAGCATAATTCTCTGCTTGTTTCCCTATTGTTTCCTAGAAGGATCTTTGGCTTTTGTAGCTGAGGATGTGGCCAGCTAAAAACAAACACATGGGCACATCTCTTTCCAGATGAACAAGAACAAATATTCCTTGAGGAATATTCCTAGCACTGGGGTTTCCACAATAACTTACAACAGTTCATTTAGTGACTGTTTGAAGTTAAAACAGCACTGGAAAAAAATGGCTGATGGCTGTTTTTCAAACTTACAACCATTGCACCATCCCCATGGTAATGTGATCAAAATTTGGATGCTTGACAACTGATGGTTGCAGTGTCCTGGGGTCATGTGTTCACCTTTTGTGACCTTCTGACAAGCAAAGTCAATGGGGAAGCCAGATTCATTTAACAACTGTGTTAGTTACTTAACCACTGCAGTGATTCACTTAAGAATTATAGCAAGAAAGGTCATAAAATGGGGCAAAACTCATTTAACAAATGTTCTCATTTAGCAGCAGAAATGTTGGGCTCAATTGTGGCCATAAATCAAGGACTACCTATAAAGGGATGATTGGTATCAGATATACATTTCCTTGCATACCTGGCTGATATACCAGTTGTTGACAGAGAAAGGACATATTATGGGCAGAAATAGCTTTGCAGGCACACTCTGGTGTAGACAAGTCTCCACCAAATGTATATTGGCTAAGGGAGAACCATAGCAAGCAAGGGAAGAATCATCCTGTTTGTTGCTGGTAAGTACAGATCTCTCCTATCAACTGCCTTTTACAAGGGCATCTCTGAATATCTGCAGTTAGGCCCTCCTCAGATCTATTGAAGGTGGACATTAATTCACAATTGCCTGAATTTCACAACACATTCTACTGAGTAGAATATACTCATAAACAGGAATGTTATGTTAGGTTCTGAAACCTTTAAAACCTGTATTATTCATCTCTTCTGCTTTGTAAGGGCCTGCAGCAATCTAAAATGCTAGAGAAGTCTATTACCTAGGAAGAATCTAGAAAATAATGGCAGTCAAAGCTGATTTACCCTCTTCTCCATGAATCTCTTTCACAATGGCTTGAATTGGTTCATACTGCTCCCTTTTGAGGTACAAGCGCGGAAGGGGAAACATATTTCCAGCTGCAAGGAAAGCAAGATTTGATCAGTCTTCACACACCCACTTATTTTTCTGCCGCCTGCATTTGTTTCCAGTGCTAAAGCTTGCCAGCAAAAATAGACATAGAAATAGGTATAGAAGTTTGATAAATACATAAATAAAGCTTGCCAGCGAACTAATTCTACTGAGAAAAGAGACAAACAGTATCTAGGTGGAAATAAGGACTTTGCATATCTTTGGTACACTCTTTGATCTAATGCAGCTCAGAATTTAATTAGTCCTTCTAGCTGCTCTCAGTGATAATTGCATGCCAATGTCATGTTTCTAATCTATGTTGGAAAATGAGCTACATTTTTTCTCCTTAAAGATAATATTTTACATTTCTCCTTATTGAAAGGCGAAATCTACTTCTCAACCTGCTCTTCAACCTGCCCCCAATAGATAGCAATCTTATTTGGTCATCCTGGCTGTTGGCCAATCCTCTCAACTTTCTGTCATCCGCACATTTGATAAGTAGCCCATCAACTCCATTATCCAGCTAATAAATCCAGATGTTGAATGATATTGGGCAAAAGTCAAATCTCTGCAGGACCTACTGTCCACCGCTACCCAACCTGATATAGAACCATTAGTGTGGATTCTTTTACAGCAATTAGACATCTAGTCATAGACACATTTTACTGTAATGCCATGCAAACCACATTTTTAAAGTTTATAAATGAGGATATTTTTATTTTATTTTTTTATTTTACTTCAAATTTATATACCGCCCTTCTCCCTAGGGACTCAGGGTGGTGTACAGCCAAATAAAAACACATAATAAATACATTAAGAACAGATTAAAAGGAAATATCTCAATTTGGCCCAAAATTTAAAAAGACAAACAAATTTAAAATCATTTAAAGGATTTGTTAGGCCAGCCCAGCTTGTTGGAAAAGGAAAGTTTTAAGGGCACGGCGGAAGGCACGGAGGGCGGATATCAATGTCAAATGAAAAACAATCCTGTGACAGAACCTTTGGAAAGCTAAACAATAATATAAAGTGATGCATTTGGCAATTGACATTTTCAGATTTCAAATGGAGAGGCAAGGGAGAAAGATGAGCCCGCTACTCATGATATAATATCATAACTGGATTGTTACAATTGTGATAGTTCCTGGATTGTTCTTGTGTCAATGGCATCATAGTCACCCACAAAGTCAGTTTCAAGCTGAGACTGTTAAGAGAGAAGTAGCAGCATAATACTGCCTTGCATTTCAAGAAGGGTCTTATTGAAGTAGCTGATTGGCTTTCCTTGTCTTCCAGCTTCTGGGATCCTCCTATGGCAGCAGTCTGTTGCCAGGGCTGTGAAAATAGCTGTTATGCCAACAGGAGCTTGGAGGACAATAGAGGGATTGGTTTTTAATTTCTCTCACAATTTCAACATTACCATAAGAACCCATCTCTCTAGGCAGTTTACAAATCAAGTAATAAAATCAATAAACACCCAAAACATCATAATTCTAAGAGAAAGCAAAATTTAATGTAGCCCACCGCTGATCAGAAAATAATAAGAGGTTAATCTGAAATAGCTTGTCAGAAAAATTGATTTGGGGAGACAGTCAGATCTTGGGCAAGCTTATTTCATAGATTCAGTACAGCTTGTTGCTTGGTTGCTTGCTTATTTATTTATCTGTTTGTCTGTCTATCTATCTATCTATCTATCTATCTATCTATCTATCTATCTATCTATCTATCTATCTATTTTAAAGTTATTGGTCGCCCATCTTACCACAGGATGACTCTGGGCAGTTTACAATCATAAGCTAAAGAACAACATTGCTTTTAGGTCTTTACCTCCACCTCCCAAAATGAGACTACCACAGCAATCTCTTAAGTAGAACAGCTAGATCAGCCAGAGTCAGATTGGAGGTGATGGCCTTTATAGCCTCAGACTGATACACTGATTTATACTTGGGCACTACTCAAAGCCGCTGCAGAATTAGCAAAATAGATGTGATATTGCTGAACTTGTGTGTACCCATTGGCATGTAGAGTGCTGCAGGTAAAGGTGAAAGTTTCCCTGTGTAGTAATGTCTGATTCTAGAGCATAGTGCTCATCTGTTTTTTGCCTCAGGGAGCCAGTGTTGTCCAAAGACATTTTCCACAGACATATGGCCAGCATGGCTATACACCAAAGATGCATAGAACACTGTTACCTTCCCAGTGAAGGGGTGCCTATTAATCTCACATTTGCATGCTTTTGAATTGCTAGGTGGGCAGAAACTGGAGCAAGTAACGAGAGATCACCCTGTTGTGCAGTGCTTGGATCTCAAACCCAGGCTGACAGCTGTCCAAATGACAAACTCAGCACCTTTAACCGCGGAGAGTATGCATTTTGCATCAATTTCAATCTCTGGGTAATCTTCAAAAGGTAGCCCTAGATATAAGTGATGAGAACTTGTAATTGCTGAAGAGTAACCCCCACTCCCAAAAGGGCTGTATCTGTGCACCAACAAAACTGAGCTACAGTTTCCACCTTCCGATGTAAGTGGAACTGCAAATCCAAGAGGACTTACAAATTGAAGACCTGCTGTTACAGAGTACACCAAAAATAGCAGAGTAGCCATAGAACCACCATATGGTTGCTAGGCAAATGTCAACTGCAAACTGATGAATGAGTCTCTCAGTAGCCTCATGCAAGGGTTCAGTTGTGTGGGAGTGATTACTGAGGCCTGCAGCAAGCCTGAGTTGGTTGATTGATTGTTGATTGATTGATTTTAAGCTGATATGTCACCAACTCTGTCATGATGGCTTATAGCAGGATTAAAAGATTCATGGTATAACAAACATAGCAACACTAAAACAAACATCCAAAGTAAATCTAAAATAGCTTTAGCATTACAACCTTAAATTATCCATGGTAAGAATTTTAAAAACTTTAAATTGTTTTAGATTAAAACAATTACAATCCTCTTCAGTAAATTTATCACACATAACATAAAAAAAAAACTGCACAATTAAGAATGAGCCAAGGAAGACAGCCTTAAACCACCCAAGGTCTTCTGGAACGATACAGTTTTAATACTTTTTTGAGGCATATCTGATACACAAAGAGAGGCTGTTCTATAATATTGAACTAGTCAGTTATAACTGGAGAATGCAGTCTCGAGGTACCTTGGCACCAAGTTATAAAGGGGCTTATATAGGTCAAACTCAACATTCAAATTTCACGTGAAACCTGTTACAGTGCTGGTCTTTAAGCACAAGGATCATATGCTTTAGGTCATGAGTGTCAAACTCGCTGCATCACGTTGCCGTCACGTGACATATAGCGATGTTTTTTTCCCTTTGCGGAGCCGGCGTGGACATGGACTATGTGTGATGCATCTGGCCCACAGGCTGCCAGTTTGACACCCCTGCTTTAGGTGATTGACACCTTCCACCACATAGACTGCTCACTTTGTATCCATTGCAGTTTCCAATTGATCTTTAAAAGTAGCTCCACTTAGAGTACATTGTGGGATATGTATTTACTCCATTTAATCCACAACCATTAAAGGAGCCACTATAAAGCAGTGTATCCCTAACAACTGACTCATGTAGGTGCGCTGGAAGGATACTAAGGCTATGGCATTAAAAGCAACTAAAGGAACTGCACTCCAGTCATCCAAATCTCAATAGATGTCATCTACTAGAGCAACTAATATTATTTTCATCCCATGCTTTCTGAATCTTGAATGAAGGGAACCAGATAATCAGCTGTATCCAAGATCCTTAGTAGCTCAAACCCCATCACCTTCTATGAAATCTTCTCCAAGAAGGGAAGGTTTGACACTAGGCAGAAATGGTCTAACATGGTAGGGCCCTCACTTCCACCTTGGCTGCCAGGAAGGGCAGTTTTTAGCTCACAAGAGACAAGACTGCCACATCAAGAACCCTGTTCAGGTTCTCAAAATCCACAACACTTAAACAATCCATGATTTTTAGTTTTTGCAAATGTCACCTCCAGCTCTAAGGAAATACAAGTAAAATAGGAAAAAAAGATGCCAGCAATTTAATCTCTTTTTAAATTATATATATGATATAATACACAATAAAGTAATCGTGTCCTGTCCTGTTTTGGCTGTTTGACTGATAGTTCTTCGTGCACAACTATTCTCCAGAAAGGGCAAATTCCAGTTGCCTATTATTTCTCCATGAGCTCTAAACACTCAGAGGCCTTCCCATTAGAGCTATGCAGAGTTTGGGTTTCAAAGGCACCCAGTGGTGATTCAGAGCTTCCAGGAATGAACCTTGGAGTCCTTATTTGCAACTCCTTGAGTTTCTTTTCTTTTGTGGGATCACGCCACAGCTACAGTAACCAGTATGCCCTGATATCTATGCTCGTAGCATCTCTATTTCCTGGAGCATTCATAAAGCATCAGAACTTCAACCTAAAAAGGAATCAGAAGAATTAGTAGGTGGAAAGGATGGTCATCTGAAAGAACCTTGAAACAGGGCAGCCATCATTGCTGATGATGTGTGGCAAGAGAAATATCAGAGAAGGCAGGCTGAAGTAAATTGTTAGATATGCTAATGATTCTTTATTTTCAGCTTCAGAATACTTTTAGAGTAGATTTAATAACAGAGTTATCAGGAATAAAATATTGGGAGACAGTGAAAAGACATAGGGCTTTATCCCATATGCTTGGGCTTTTGCTTGCTTTGATGTCATTGAGTCAATCTTGACTCCTGATGATTGCCTGCACAAATCCTTGTGTATTCTTGCCAGGCATTTGGAAGTGATTTGCCTTTGCCTTTTTCCTAGGACTGAGAAAGAGTACCTAGCCCCAAATCATCTAGTTCATTTCATACCTAAGGTGGGACTCAAACTTACAGTCTTCTAGTTTGGTGCCTTTCTCACTACACCAGGGGTGTTACAAGGCTCACAGGCTGGATCTGGCCATGGGGTGTTTAGATCTGGCCTGCAGGACCAGCAAAGGACTAGCCCACGGTGCCTCTGCCAGCAAAAATGGAGCTGGGTGTCTGTGTGCATGTGGCCCCCCAAAGTCCATTTTCGCTGGCAGAGGACTAGCAAAACAACTAAAAGCAAAACAAAACAAAAGGAGAATGCATTTGAGCATTCAAGAATGGACAGGGAAGGAGAAAGGGAAAGAGGAAAGACAAAGAAAAAGAAAAAGAAAAAGAAAAAGAAGGAAAGAGAGCAAGGAAGGAAAAAGAAGGAAAAGGGAAGGAAGAAGAAAGGAGAATGAAGAGGGAAAGAAAAAGAAGAAAAGGAAGGAAGGAAGGAAGGAAGGAAGGAAGGAAGGAAGGAAGGAAGGAAGGAAGGAAGGAAGGAAATGAATTATAATGAGAGGGAGGGAGGATCTGCCTTAGCATTTGGCCACCACAGGTGCTCCGACATGAGTGACGTCAAGCTGGCCATGCCACCCCCCCCCCCCCGAGGTCATACACAATCCTGATGCAGCCCTCAATGAAATCGAATTTGACACCCCTGCACTACACCAAACTGAGTGCAATCTAATAGAATCTATTGAATAGATTATCTACTTAAAAAGGAATAATTGTGTATTTTAATCAGGTTTTTTTCCATTCTAACTATATTTTCTTTAAAATAAATCCAGTTGATTTATTTCAGAAGATTTCAGCCTTCTTTGAATTTTCAATTCAATTTGTATATGGGGAATTCCTTAACTGCAAGGTTCCAGTAACATTAACTGAGCTATGGACGAAGCATTGTGATGAAATAAAATGCAAAATATTTCATTATATTTCCTGACTAAATCAGTTATAAGAAAAATCTGCTTCCCTCTCTGGATTTTCAATATAGAGTATAATTCATTAACTAACACCCCCCCACCCACCCACAGCCAACATATTAACATAAGGCAAAGAATGCTAATTAACATTTCAGTTATTTCAATTACATCTTAATGTAATTGCCAGTTAGAACAACTTAGTAAAAGCAGGGGTTGCATAAAGAGAATATGTAGTATTGCTGAGCCATATTCTCTCTCTCTCTCTTTCCATTCTCCCCAAATTCTTCAGGACAATTTAGGTTGAATTGGTCAGGTTTTCTCCTGAGGTCAGAGCAGAACAGCATGTTTTCTTCTGAATTTAAAACAAAAGTTCTGAATCATGCATATTTGATCTGTAATTTGGCAAATCCAAACTGGTCTTTGTGAGAATGGAATGTTTTGAAGCCAGCTGAGCTCTTAGTATTAGCCAGAGGGAAAAAAGATTAAAGTGGACTTCTAGTTATCCACTGACCAATACTAAGTTGCTATAGAATAATCTCTTCCTCCCAGAACTGTAATGGAAATTCAGTAATAACTGGATTATATCCATAGGTTCTTTCTTAGAAAAGAACCGAATTTGTGGTGATGGCCTTCAGTTTTAAACTAAGATACTTGTTGTCAAAGCAGAAGCAGAAGGATAAGCTTTTTGAATGGGGCAGTTCTGCCAGGAAGAGCTACTAAGCAAAAGGCTTCATATGGGACTCCATGTCTTCTTTCTGCCCAGAAAAGCCTTCCTTAAATCTGCCAGCACTAAATTTAGCTGGTGACCTGAGAATACTGGAGATGCAATCCTGACCTTGTACTGTGAAGGATGCAGGCAACATTTTTAAAAGAAAGGATGAACTCAAAGGGTTAGAAGAAGCAGGCAGGTTTAATCCTAAAATTATAAAAACTGCAAAATTGGGAGATCAAGATCATCAACAATTCCTGTAGCTGCATTTCAGAAAAGTTGATTTTTCAACGAATGAAGGACTTTTCATCTCCCTATCCACTTCCGCTACTATCACTTGCACACATGCCATCAGCCCAATCTAAAATATCACTCATGGGTGCCTATTCTTGGTCTTGTAAAATGCTTGACAAAAATCTCTTGCACTTCTTTCTATATGTAGGTTTGTGAGCCTGAATACTCATTAACCCATGTGTCAGAATTTAGGAAGAATTATCATTCCTCATTGTGCAGAACGATTTCTTTATTATTACCTTTTGAAATCCCCCTCCACTAATTCTTTTTCTCCACTTTTTTCACTCTAGTTCCTTATTTATCCCATATTATTATCAAATGGGTGGTTTCTAAATTTTATATATGAATAAATAAATATTTACCTTTTAACTCATACGAATATTTGAACCATTTCCCAGTAGAAAGTAAGAAACAAGAGTCATTGAATTTGCCTCATATCTACCTAAATCCATGACCCTGTTTTAAACAAAAATATAAAAAATTAGATATATTGGAGAATATTTTTTTGTCTCACAAGATACCTAATTTTGAGAGTATAGTCTCACTCTGGCGTGTTCTGATTCAAGCCACATATTTTCTTGCTTGTTTTTACCATCAATTAAGAGCTAGAGTGTCTGGTATATTTCAATGGAAATAAATTGGGCAAGATTTTGGTCAATCTATATGTGTCTCATTGCCACAAAAACCTTTCATGGTTTCAAATGACCATCAGCTTGGTTCAAGAGCACACACTTCCCCTTCTGTTGCTCGGCAGGGGGGAGGGGGGCGGCATGCAACATTCTTCCAATAGCAACTGAAGTAATTTAGTGCTGGAGTCAGAAAAGAAGGGTGAAACTTCAACCATATATCATATCTATAGAGCTATATATCTATTTGGGAGGAAGTCTTTTGGAGAAATGGACAGAATTGCAGACGAAACTGAACTAATGGAGAGCTGAGTTTTGTTTTTCCTTTCTTTAGTAAATTGAGTGAGAAACCATCAGTTTTAGATGAATTTAGGGAATCTTAATACATACTCATCTGTTCTTTTGGACATTGTATGTGTTTATCAATGGGCTCTCATCAGGATGTGCCAGCAGTCACAAATTCTCTTCCTTACCTGCTTCTACCTTCCAGGTCATCTCCTAGCAGCCCCTTTCTAATGCTGGGTCTTACATTCTTAGAGCTGGGCAATTTGACATTCCCAGATCAAAGTCTTGCCAGAGGACAATTCTGCACCCAAAAGGTCAACCCTTGGCATCGAAAAGCAAACCTAATACATCTGTAGGCTTCGGATAGGTCTTCACAGTCATGTAGTGTGATTAAATCCAGTCTTGTTCCCAGCACTAGCTGTTGAAATTCCTTAAATTGTTAAAGATCTGCTCTTAAACTCTACAAGGCTTTCTCTATTCCCCCTGAGAGATACACCTGTTGGGTTGTCTAATCCTCAATAATACACGTACTAAATAAAACTGGTTATCCAAATGACTGGCATAATCTTCCACAGTTTTCTCATAGCAGCCACACCACACACAAATGCCTCGCAAAGCAAGGTGCAAGAGTTCTCCCTACCTGCTCAGACTCTTACTCAGACCACAGCAGAGCCTCTGTTGTGAAGTCCTGACAGAGCGGATGCTTCCCAGGTGAGGATTAGAGCCCCGTGTGAGTTTTCTCAGCACTTTTTCTCACCCAAGAGATTCTCCAAGTCAATGCTTCCCAGCTGTCCCAAGTCTTGCTCTTGTGCCTTTTTTTGATCTTGCCCCGCTGAGATGCCAAGTTTCTAATCCATGTTACATCAGACATTTATTTCTGGCTGAGAAAAGGGGTGTGTCCAGCCCAGAGCAGAACCTTTGGGAACTCAACTAGCAGCAAGTGCTGAGGCCAAGTGAAGCATGGAGGAGAAACCACCTGTCCCTTTATACAACTAGTACAACTGTGTTTCATCTGGCCACAGGTTCTGTACCTTTCACAGTAAAGCAGTAGGTGCAGAAAATATTAAGAAATTATCATGTTTCTCTCAAGATTTTGTCTGCTTGGCTCACTAACAAGCCCAAAATGAACACAATTTCATTTGTGCTTTCAAATGCTTGCAAACATTTTCAGATAAAAGGGTACAGCCACAGAAGCAGGTATAAATTCCACAGAATGTGGTTGGGCAGAAAATGGCACAGAAAATTGGAGTTGCCACGTTCCTAACAAGTACAGATCATTTTTCTTTGAAACTGCCTTTTTAAAAATTTTTTCTTTGAAATAGAGATAATAAAGCACATATTCTTCACTTAGTTGAATTATAAACAAGTATGAAAAGATAGGAAAAGCTCAGGAAAGCATGGATCTGGATCTCTATTTTCTTCTTTCCAAGCCTTGGCTCCTTCCTTCTGGATATGAAGGTCTGAGAATTAATTGCGTAGTTTTCTAAATGAAAGATGCTTCCCGTGTGTGTGTGTGCACGCGCGCACATGTGTGTGCAATTAGCTTCTATCATTCATGACATCTATTCCTTCTTACGTGACATATTCTGGCAGTGACTCTATATGTATTTGTGTATGCATATATCTATTTATGTGATGAGCCAAGCAAGCTCAAGAAGGGGCAAGAAAAAGGATGATTTCCTGTTCCCAATTGGCTCTCCAAATAGATCTTTTCTACAGTTTGTGTTTACTTGGTGTATTTTAAAATGCTCTGTAGGTCAGATTATCCTTAGGAGATGCTCCTACTGGAAGACATATTCTGCAAGCTGCATTGGTTGCCAGTAGGCTCCCAGGGGCAATTCAAGGTGCTATAACCATCTCCAGAGCCCAAATGGCATAGGACCAGAGTAATAGCCAGACTGCCTTTCTTCTATTCAAACCTCTAGGTTTGCCCCACCAGACCTAGTAAAGAGGGATTGCAGTAGTAGTATGTGAGAAAAACCTTGGGAGACAGAGCAAAGAAATACTGCCTGAAGTACATTCAGACTTGCACAATTCTGTTAATATAGTCTTACAGTAAAGTAAAATGAGCTCATCTGGTCATGTTTCTTGTCTGGTCTCCCTGGGAAGGTTGTCACACATTTAGGATCCCTTCTATTAAGCAAGGTGATCTTGTTTACCAGAAGGCATGCCTTTCCAATGGCAGCACCTGCCTATGGAACAAAATGTTCCCCCACAGATATTTGGATGCCCCAACTGTATTAACTTTTTTGCAAGGCATTGAAGACCTGGCTGTTTCCTCAGGCCTTTGGGTCAGTGGGGAGATGAGCTGTGAGACTATTAATGGTGAGTAGGGTCAACTATTTATTCCTGGATCTGAGGCAGGGGTGAAATGCTACCGGTTCAGCCAAACCAGTAGTGATGGCGGCGCGAGGCTTCGCCCACCCGCCCGGTCGTCATTACTTCCTGGTTTTAACCAGGAAGTAACCTGTTTTTTACCCTCTGCACATGTGCAGAAGGGTTTGCGCATGCACAAAGGGTCCGCGCATGCATGTGACGCACACATGATTGAAGCGTGCACGCACGTGGGGCAAGTGCACTTCCAAACTGGTAGGGAAGGTAAGTAGATTTCATCCCTGTGCTGAGGGGTTATGTTTGGTGGGTCTGTCTGTTTTTAATCTTATAGAGCCACTTGTGTGAGATGAGTAGCTACATAAATCAAAGACATACATACCTATATTAAAGTGGGCAAAGGGAAGGATGGACTCTTTTCTCGTTCTGTGATTCCTGTTTTTCCATTTTCTTCTTACCATTCTGCTCTCACAGTCCAGGCAAGTAGGAACAGCTCAGAAAAGCATGGATCTGGCTTATTTTCTTCTTTTCAAGCCTCAGCTCCTGCCTTCTGGATATGAATGTCTGAGAATTAATTGCGTACAGAGTTTTTTAAAATTAAAGATGCTTCCAGATTAGGCTTTGTGCCCCCCTCTCCCATGTGTGTGTGAGTGTGTGTGTAATTAGCTTCCATTATTCATGACATCTTAAGGGAGATCAAAGTGAGACAATCTTCCATTTTTATTCCTTCTATATGTTCCCACTGCTTTTTCCATTTATTTTTTATTTTTTTGATTACCACATAAAATCTGCTTGGAAGAAAATATCTTTTGATTAGTCTGATTGGAAGCTCTCCATCTGGGGAAGAAAAAAAACATACTTTGAAAAAAGCATACAGTTTTTATTCACTACTTTGGAGCGGATTGCCAGCATATGTTTTTACACCCTTCTCTTTGGAGATAATAACTACGAGATTGCACCAAATGTATTTGATTATTATTTTGTGCCAAAAGTGAATGTGGGAAAGAAAAACCTTCAGCTGTTGTGAAGGAAGTACAGGCTTGCATATGGATTAGAGATAAACGGAGAATGCGTCTTTGGGTCTACATTCTCTGCTATTCCCATCACATGTTTGAACCCGACAGATCTGTTCTCCATAAGATTGATGTGGCTTCCGATCCTTAATCAGAAGCATTTGTACTATGCACTGTTAAAGCTGGTGCAGAATTACACAGTGAAAACATTCAGCTACTTATTATCTGAGTATTCTGTAGGCCAGAGTTTCTCAGCCTTAGCAGTGTTAAGAAGTGTGGACTTCAACTCCCAGAATTCCTCAGAGAGCTTGAAGCAGTGGTGGGTTTCAAATTTTTTTACTACCGGTTCTGTGGGTGTAGCTTGGTGGGCGTGGCATGTCTTGGTGGGCATGGCAGGGGAAGGATACTGTAAAATCTCCATTCCCACCCCACTCCAGGGGAAGGATACTGTAAAATCTCCATTCCCTCCCCAGTCCAGGGGAAGGATACTGCAAAATCCCTATTTCCTCCCAATCAGCTGGGATTTGGGAGGCAGAGAATAGAATTTTGACTACTGGTTCTCCGAACTACTCAAAATTTCCATTATCAGTTCTCCAGAACTGGTCAGAACCTGCTGAAACCAACCTCTGGCTTGAAGTCCACACATCTCAAAATTACTAAAGTTGAGAAACTCTACTGTAGGATTAATTAAACTAGGATTTATTTGTTTCAATTGCTGGAATTCCATGATTCATCATAAAACGAGCATACAGACTCAGTGCTTTAAAATACCATTTGTCAATTGTGAGTCAATATGTTATGCAAATATCACAATAGTATCAGATCTAAATATAAAATCATATTTTTTTTCCAAGCTATTTTAAAATGTCTATCATTGATTGTTCCCAAATCCAGGTTAATTCCAGGGAAAGGGGGAAAAAAATATGAAAACCAGCTAGATTCCAATTGGAAGTGGGGCTGGACCGGGGTAAAGTCACTTTTCAAATTTCTGTGAATTTTCTATAATTTAAAAAATGCATTAAAAATACCCAAAACTCTTCTGGGGATTAGATCGAATATTTCCAATGTCTCTTATTTCTGCCAAACAGTGAAGGGGAAACACAGTATATGCAAAGTGTTTTGGACTGATTGATTTACAGCTCAAGCTCATTCCGAGGCCAATCCCACCTCCCCCGTTTTATCTAGGCCTTGTTCTATAATGGATGCACTCAGGCGTGTAGTTTGCTTTTGTTACTGCTGCTATCTGCATTATGTATTGCTTTCAGGAAGAGGTTTGGGGGCAGATTATAAATTCCCACCACAAACATCAATTAAAAAAATGCAAGCAAACAGCAACAGGAAAAAAAAACCATCACCAGAAACAATAGAATATAAAAATGATGGAAACAACCATCGCTATCTGCTTAGAATGTAAAACAGAATAATTGGATTGCAAGAGACCTTGAGATCATCTAGTCCAACCCCTTGCTCAAGCAGGAGACCCTATATATCATTCTGGACAAATGGCTGTCCAGTATCTTCTTGAAAACCTCCAGTGATGAAGCACCCACAACTTCCAGAAGCAAGTGTTCCACTGATTAATTGTTCTCACTGTTGTTTCTCCTTAGGCCTAGGCCTTAATGCTCTTGCACCTGTTACTTCTTGTCTTGCTCTCAGGTGCTTTGGAGAATAAATCGGTTAAGAACACAGGTTTAAACACACATCTAATGTTCTCCTGAAAGGCTACTAGATAAAAATGAGGCCTGTTTGACAAAAGTACATGTGGAAGAGGGGTGTAGGCAGGACACATTCTCCTAAGAGTTCTCACTCACTTCTGCTTGTGTTTCTCTACCTTGTGTGTAACCTGTGTGTGTAACCTGCTAAGCCCTTGTCTAAGGTAAGGTAAAGATTTCCCTTGTCCAGTCATATCTGATTCTAGGGAATGGTCCTCACCTCTGTTTCTTAGCCAAGGGAGACAGCATTGTCTAAAGACATTTCCATGGGCATATGGCCAGCAAGACTATATGCCGAGATAAACGGAATGCTGTTACCTTTCCACTGAAGTGGTACCTATTTATCTACTCGCACTTGCATGCTTTCAAATTGCTAGGTTGGCAGGAGCTAAGCTCAGTGTCTTAACTGCTAGGCCACCATGCCCTCTGGTTCAAAAAAGCAGCCCAAATGACTGGTCACAGGCAGGGTGAAGGATTTGCAGGGAGCATGTGGGCAGCCTGTTAGTTGGCCATGGGTTGAAGAAAAGGGAACAATAAGAGCTGAGAGCAAGTGGTAGCATTGGCAATAAGTCAATAGCACCCAGAAGTACCCCATAGAGAACTCAAAAAGATACAGAAGTAGGAGAAATGGCACTTGTTTTGCAGTACAACCAGGAGAAAGTGTGGCCACAGGATACTCCTGGCTAGCAGAAACAGCAGAAAATCACACATTCATTTGGGACAGACTCAGCAACACAATGTTAGAAGAATCTAGCTT